GGCAGGCGGGCCTGAGGCCTCGGTCAATGGTACAGGCATCCTGAGATGGAAACAGATTCCCTCACCGCTGTGCTGACCACACACGGGTGGCAAACTCTGAGACTCTGAAGACTGAGAAACGCGGTGGTTTGTGGTCTGAAGTGAAGATCTATGGAGAGCAAAGACAGGCAGCTTTGTTTGTTTAGCAAAACGTGATTTAAAAACTATAGAACAAGTCACACCAATCAGCCATCATGATAATAGAAGGGCAGCAAAAATAATTGGATCTCTGTGTGCGCCAAGCATGAACGTGGAGTGCACCAGTATTGCCTTCAGTCTTCCGGGACAAACCTGCTCTGTTTGACATGCGCAGGGTCTATGCTCGGGAATCCGAGCCTTGTGCCCAGATCAGACTGTTAGTGTTCTCAGTGTGCTGTGGCTCTTTCCAAAGCCTGTGCCATTTCACACTCCGCTGTTCCTTGCTGAAGTATGAGAGGAGAGGCTCTTGAGAGGAGGCATTAAGTGTCTCTGCAGAGAGACGCTTCGATCGCTCGCAGTTCAGGTCCTTAAGTTGGTCAGGGCTTGAAGGATTCTAGAAGTTTCTCTGCTGCGCTGCAGCCATTTGTATGTCCATCCCCACAGGAGATGACGATCAACAGTGAGACAGACCTCTAACTCTAGGGGAGCCCTTTCCATGTGTGAACACCAAAGATTCCCGGGAAGTCCCTTACTGTTACCAAGCAGAAGTCCCTGGGACTCCTCTAGTGATACTTCCTATGCTCTGTGAAGAGATGATGGCTCTGTAAGACCTCATTTCTCACCAAATGAGCTGCTTGGTCCTGGAACATATGTCGCAGCAGAAGCTTGTATATGGGTCAACTTATTAGCCTTTGAGATGCAGCTCTACCATTTACTGGCTGTGTGATCTTGGTCAATCTATCTAGCTCTATATATAGTTTTCTCACCCCCCCCCCACCAACTGGGAAACAACACAATTTACTGTGTTGAACTAGTGTAAGTACCAAAGATAATATGTGAAATGTATTGATGTAAACATAAACAGTGGACTCTGGAGTCAGAGATCGGAGCTCCAGTCTAATGATACGATATAGGACAGGGACATAAATTCCCTGAGAGCACATTTTCCTATCTGAAAAGACAGTTTCAACGGCGTCTGCCTGTTGAAACTGATCATGAATTACTGCAGGGCCTGGTCCAAGGGCTGTGTTCTAGAACCTCTGACTTCACCGCAATGTCTGAGATAGCTCTAGCCCTAACCATCACCGAGTCCAGACAGTGTTCCTGTGAGGGTTCTGTCTCAGCCAGTAGAGACAGTTCATCTCACGGTGTGGAGGAGTAGCCAACAGTAAGCCGGACCTACCTGCTGAGGTCTCTGTCCAAGTCTAGGCTTAAGCATCTCTGGGCCTCTTAGAAGAAACACAGCCACTAGGTGGCTTGTCTTTGCTTGCTCCAACTTTGCCGTGAAACATCATCTTTCAGTCTTATGTTACAGGGGGAGCGTAGAAAGAGAAGAAAGAGGAAGAGAAAGGAGGAAGAGGGAGGGGAGAGAGGGAGGAACACCGGAGGACTGTCCAGCGAACGGTTTGGCTTTATTCTAGAAAAGTCAGATTGCACAGGACAGTTTATCGCGGTGGCAGACTCGGTTAAAACTTCCATTCTATAACTGGGCGCCACTCAGTTTACAGAGCGCGTGACAGCGTCGGAACCGAGAACTCTCTGAGCAGTTCTCACTTTGGAAAGGACACTAAAGGTCAGAGAGGTTAGTGATCTCCCCGGACCACACAGCTTTGAAGAGGTCAGAAAGGACTAGACTGTAGGCCCCGATCTGATCCCATTGACTCACTAGAGAGAAACCCCATCTCTCTCTCATAGCACCGTTACTGAAGAAGCCCGCTCAAGGGCCCCCTCTCTGTGGGACTGGAGTAACTGAGGTGGTCCAGTCTGTCCCCAGCAGGGACAGTCGACCTTACTTTCTACCTCATCTCTATCACTTGTCCCCCTTTCCGACCGTGACCTGCGACTTGTCTATGACAACAGAAGCCTCAAGAATAGTTCCCGAGAGCAGTGCCAGGTAGTGTGGCAGTGACCCAGGTGATAAACGGTGCCGGCTGACAGGCAAGCCTATATTTGGTGTCCTACCTTCAATGACCCTCGCCGGTTCCAAGCAACACCGATAAACAAATGGTCCATCTCTTGGCCCCGTGCCAAGGTAAATGCGCCTCTGGATCCCAGCTCTGGGTGTTGAAAGGCAGCTATTCCAAAGCAACGCAGAAGCCAAAAGGGCCATCTGTAAGCCGGGGCCTAAATGTACTTTCAAACCATTGGTGGCGTTTGCTCAGGACCGCTTTAAATTTCCCCACGTATTCATGACCTTCACGATGATCTTGTGCACAAGAAGACACTAACATTTACTTCCCTCAAGTCCAAGTGATGAATGACAGTCGGAGCCCATGTTTTCTGACCCAGGACATGTTGTGGTACCTTGTGTAGCTCCCGTTACCCTACTCACTTCTTCCGGAATGGAACATACATCTATTCAGTGAATCCTTATGTGTTTCTATTTTGGGTTTTGAGTCCTGATGTATGTAAGGCATACATTATATATAATACCGCCTCACTTACAAACAAGGTTGTTGAGATGGATTAGTTGGTGAGGAGGTATTATATATAATTTTACCCTCATTTTGAACATTTTGCTGAGGATAATGCATATATATATATGTGTGTGTGTATTTATGTGTGTGTGTGTATATGTATGTATGTATGTATGTATGTATGTATGTATCCATCCATCCATCCCCAGAAGGCATATCAGTCTCGCATCAAACTTGTTGGGCATGCCAATGAAATCACTGGCAATATGAAATGAGAAACCTGACCTGATCTGACGTTGTTTCCACTGGAAGTTTCCATGTCATTTATTCCACAAAGGTCACTGTCATGTTCTCAGATGAAACATATTATACTCCTCCTGTTTGTATGATGTTGAAACCCGGAATCAAAATGAACATGAACACACTTATGTGATTCTGCTCTTTTCTAGAAATTGTGTTATCTTCCATACGTTAAGGATACATCCAGGAAAAAGACGTTAGCTAAAAAATAACCCTAGGTGCTTGCTTTCTATGTAGCCACCTTGGCTGAAAAAGGGTATGTCAGACAATTTTCAAAGTTCATTCCAGCTCAAGAGTCTGCAGTTTCGATGTACTCCAGCAGAACTACTTAGGCTTTTTTCTTTTTCTTTGAGATATGAAGTTATTATCACCTTTTGGTAGTCCCTAAGTCTGCCTGAAATGCTCTACCCTTTTTTCCTGTATCTGCTGGACCCCTGGTCCCTCTTAGAACCTCTCTGAATGTGGTCTCTTCTGTGCCTTACAATGCAATCATCGCTGTCCTCTCGTCCGAGTTATCACAGCACTCCAGTCCAAGGTGTTCTGGCTCCGGTCTCTTTTCTCAGTATGGGCTTCTCAACACAGGGACACGACCCACTCACCCTTCAATGTCCCCTCCTTGACCTGCCACCAAAGGCATAGTATACCAGCCAGGCATGTAGCAAGCACTGGGTGAGTGAGTGAGTGAGTGAATGAATGAATGCAGGCTTGATCGCAGTCGTCCATCTCTTTTTCCCCTCCACTGAATAAACCAAATGGCAGAATAGAAACGTCTATGGGATGTTTCCTGTTTTGAAGTTGTTTCCTAAAACTTGTGCTTAAGATGGCTTCTAAAGGGAACGGCATCTCAGAGACACTCAGATTGGGACATTGCCTTCAGCCCAGTGTCAGGTTCAGTGGTCTGTTTTCTGTTTACTTTCTGTTTCTTAGCAAAACTGTCCGTGTTGTAAGACTGTGAGACTCAACCCAGAGAGCTAACCCAGGAGGGCTTAGTGCTAATCCCAACTATTATAAGAAGGAACTGTCTTCCCAGAAGTGACCGGCAAGGCCAGAGCTGCCTCTTAGAGTGTCCCGATGGCACTTAGTGCCCATGGTATCACGATGCACCAACCTTCTAATAAGCCAAAGGTTCCCGGGGAGAATCCAGTCCCCTGGGAAGATGGGTAGGGCTTCAGAAGTCTACTGGGTATCAACAGCTTAGTTCAGCTTTGCTCTAAGGAGACGGAAAATTTGGGTTCACACTTACAGGCCTATGAAAATTATGGCTCGCCACTGCCTTTGTGAATGAACATCACTTAAACACCATCCTCCAGTGAAAAGCTGAGAGACGAGAGGTCTGGCTGTAGCATCTCCCACTGAGCCCCAGGAGCTCTTAAATCCCTTCCCACACGCTGAATCTTCTGGTCCCCTAAACAACAATATGACACCCCAGAGAATTGTGTTGGGTGGTGAGGAGGAGAAAGCTCTGCAACCTCTGGGACACACAGAGCGTGGCGAGGGCAGCTGCGAACACAGTCTACATTCCCAGATGGTTGCTATAGCGCCGACCCGTATGCCTGGCAATGGTGTTCTTCAACAGGCGCTAGAAGCAACTCTCCACAAGAGAATTTACATATTCTGTATGTTTTGCCAGCTAGGCAGGAGGCTAAAACTGTAAGCCACTATTCCTAGCATCAATACAGCCTGCTCTGAGTGACACTAAACCAGAACCTCAACTCATGTCACATTCAGAAGCCAATCCCACTTCTGATGAGATGACTTCCAAACTTCAGATGACCAAAGAATATAACTTTATGTACATAAGACTAGCCTTCTATTCCTTCCGGGAACCCTGTGAGATGCATAGGGACAGGTGTTGCCGAAATTTAACAGAAGAAAGAACTGAGTTGACTCAATAAACAGATGCCTCAAAGCCTCCAGGCTCCAGGGGCTGAGCTACTTGTAGAAAGTAGCCATTTGCTGAGTGAGTGAGTGACTGAGTGAGTGAGTGAGTGAGTGAGTGAGTGAGTGAGTGAGCGAGCAAGTGAAACATGCTATCCCCTAGTCCTCAGATCACTGTATTTCTAGATCAGTTTGCCCTTGATGCCATCTAAACCTAGGGCATTTGCTTTATACCCTCTCAGATCGACCTTGGCCAGAGTCTTCACCATGCCAAACTGGGGCGGAGGTGCAAAATGCGGAGCCTGTGAAAAGACGGTTTACCACGCAGAGGAAATCCAGTGCAATGGGAGGAGCTTCCACAAGGCCTGTTTCCACTGCAGTGAGTTGGGCAGACCCCAGGGGGCTTTCGAGTTCTCTGATACCACCAGTGATTCTCACCGTGGGGCAGGCAGCATGCAGGAGCATGACCAGGAGCTGAGAGAAACACCGCTCGCCCATGGGCTCCACTCTAGGAGGCAGGGCGTTTCCTCTCCAGCACTTTCTCTAGCCGGGCACCAGCACAGAGGCGGTTTCCCCGGGCTCAAAGTTGGGAAGAGCAAGTGGGCCTGGCTCTGCTCTCTGTGACATTTGCAAAGTATGACTTGGCAGAGAAGGAGACTAGCAGTGTGCAGTGTGCAGCCAAACTAAATCTGGCTTTTTGTGTGGCCCTGGTCAGCTGTCACTGAAGCCAGCGGTGACTAGTCTTCCCGAAGAAAGGACTTGGGTCAGGCAGGGGACGGCATGCGTCAATCAGGCTTAGGCATCAGAACTCCATGAAGGAACTCTTTAGCATCAGCTGCCAGACAGATTCAGAAGTGCCCAGACTGAGGGAGCTCTGAGCGTGTGTGACCTACCTGAGGGTCTGTCACTTTGGTCAAGTCATTTCTTATCTCTGGGTCCGGGCGGCATGCACCTGTAGCAGAGTGAGGGCTAGCCCTGCACATTCAGACTCCTCTCCCAGTGCCCCTTGGCACCTCAGGCCTTTCTTGGAGAAATGGGCCGTGGCTCTGAGCTGGCCGCCTACCTTCTCTGTTTCTAAGCCTAAAGCAACGGCTCACAGGTTAGCTTTGCTCAATATCTGTGAGAATTTGTCAGCTGGCTCAGTTCTCACCCTTAAGCTCCACTCAAGTGGCTGCAAATGAACTCCAATGCCCAAGCTGTAAAGGTCCGGGCGGAGAGATACATACTCCAACTGCATCTGCCCGGAATAGAGCATGCTATGCTCTCGGCTGCAGTTCCATGGTCCCTCCCCGCCTCGGCAAACCTATTCTAGAGGAAAGAGTGATTAAGTCGACAGACTTACTGATGCTTTGGGTTTTAATGATGGGCAATTGTCTTTTAAGTCAGTTCGTGCATCCGTCATATCCACCCATGTTCCCTTACAACGATCCAGGACTTATTATCCATTCCAAAGGCTCTGGCATGTCTCTAAAAATAGCCAGTGTTTTCTAAAGTGAACGGAATTGGAGAGGATATTGGAGCTAAAGAAGAAGTAAGCTTCAAGTGTAGGCTTTTCCATTCACTAGCTATGTTTTACCATAGTGGAGCCTCATCTCTACCTGTACAATAAAGATGGATTTGTTATGGGTGAAAACTGGGGTCCTACACCCGGAAATCCAGCCCTCTAGGCTTTAATCCCGCTTTTATTGACTTTGATGCCTTGTAGAAAGTAGAGAGGAGGCAAGCTTCCCACTGGGGGTTGCCTTGACTTCCCAGTGGACGCTGATGGCTGTGCTCAGTGGAGCCATAAGAGAAAGGCCCCATTTGACTCAGCCCATGGGCGGATGAGCGCTTAGTAGTGTGGGCAGGGACCTCTGGGGAGGAGCACCCTTTTCTATACTATCTCTAAGAGACTTACCAGACTCCAGCCAAGCCTCTGCTGGCAGGAAGCAGGTTCAGAGAGGCAGCTCTACCTCACTTAATCCTATCAGTGTTATCTTGGCTTCTAGATAAGCTCCAGGACTGACTGAACCTTCTACTTCAGTCCACCCAGAAGAAATACCCATGTATGTTTAAGCATCCACAGCAGCCATCATTTCACGAGTATACCAATGAAGCTAGGTAAAATCCATTGAAATATCTCATTCAACACAATATATATGAAATATAAGCTAAATACGTCTCATTACTCATGAAATATTTTATATTCTTTGGGTGTATGCACTACTACTTGAAGTTGAACACAATTTTGTGAGCCTATCAGCACATCACATCTGGATGGTTGCCATGGTACTGGACAGCACCGTTCTCTACTGCTGTGTACAAAAGCTCTTCAGGGGCCAGCAGGATGGGTAAAGATGTTTGTTGCCAAACCTGATGACCTGAGTTCAATCCCTGGGACCCATATGATAGAGGGAGAGAAACAGTTCCTGTAGATTATCTTCTGACTTCCACTAGCATGCAATCACACACAGACACACACACACAAAAACACACACACACACACAGACACACACACACACAGAGAGAGAGGGAGAGAGAGAGAGAGAGAGAGAGAGAGAGAGAGAGAGAGAGAGAGAATAAAATATATTTTTTTGGTTGTGAGCCTAGCCATCTCTCCATCCCTAAAATGTGTTTTTTTAAAAAAGCTCTTTGGAGGCCAGACTTAGCCAGCCCTTGTGAGACACTCTTCACAAGCTGTCATGGAGCGCTGATAGTGAGAACTCGGTTATTCAGGGGAACGGAGGTCAGCGACAGCTCTGTAACTCATGGCTGTAGGATGGGAAGTCACTGATCTCTAATGACAAGGAAACTCAGTCACTCACCCATTATTTGCAGACCCGGGCCCTCTGTCGTGGTCTGGGGACATTAAGGTACAACAGCCCCTGGACTCTGTGAGCTGCTGTAGAGAGTGGTAACTCGTGGCAACAGGGCAGACTCAAATATCTCAAGTATCTGCCTTTAATGCCCCAGTATAAGGCATTTCCCCTAAGTTATTATTCAAAAAAAAACTTTGGTCTTTATTCAAAGCTTTTAAAGTCTCTCATGCTATTGGACATTCTCTCAATGACTTAAGGCTTTTTGTTTTGTATTTCTTTGGGTTTTTTTATTTTGAGCAAAGATACTCGAATAAGCTCTGTATTCCAAGCTCAACAACTATCAGCCTCTGGCCCATTCTACTTCATTCATAATCTTCTTTTATGCCTGTTTTAATGACTCTATTTTTAGCAACAAAATGACATTTCAGAAAGGCTTATTAGCCTGCAATGATCATGTTGCTTATAAAGATCACTGGGTGGAACTGTTTTGTTTTGCTTTTTAAAGAAACAAATAAATTGAATGTACTCATTTTATTATTTCTGAGAGTATGATCTCACTTGGAGATTATTCCTCCAAACACTTAACACTCATTATTGCAAAGCCCTATAGTGTTTTGTTAAGTTGTGGAAATTCTTTATACCTTACAGCTGCCTTATGCTGTGGTAGGTAATCTCTGTGTTGAGACAGTTTTCATGCTCCAGCCATTTGGTCAGGGGGCAAGCAATGGCTGCCTGTCCAGGGCTCAGACACAGATCTAAGTGGATGTGAGCTGCTTAGGGGTAGCTATCTACAGTCAGCTGTCCCAAAAGTGAGTGATAGGGTTGAGGATGCCCAGAAAGAATGGAATCCCCGAGTTTGTGTGAGATTAGAGAAAACAGCATTTCCAATATACTCTTCATGTGTTTTAGTAAGTAATAAAAGATGATTTGACATTTGCATTTACATCTTTAAAAGTTCCACCCTCAGGATTACCTGCGTAACTCAGCGGTAGAGAGCTTTGTCAGAATGCCTGGGGCCCTGGGTTAAATTCCTAACAGCACACACAGACACAGACACAGACACAGACACACACACACACACACACACACACACACACACACACACACACACACGCAGACACACACGCGCATGCACACACACACATACACACACACAGACACACATGCCCACGCGCGCCCACACACACAGACACAGACACACACACAAAGCCTTTTTGAGTTTTAAAAACACCTTTTCTGTAATTGTTGTCTTTGGATTTAGTTACCTTACATTTGGAGACAAATGACATAAGGTAAATACATAGTGGCAAGGCGGTTTGAGCCAATGGGAGACCAACAGGACCAGTGAGCTGCTTGTGTCCCTACTGCACTACCCCCACTCCAGAAGTGGATACAATATCACACTGCTCTTCCAAAGGTCTTGACGGAGGTCGGCAGCGGTGGCACATGCCTTTAATCCCAGCACTCTGTAGCCAAGGCTACATGAAGAAACCCTGTCTCAAAAAACTAAATTAAATAAATAAAACCTTGGATGGGTACAGAAATTGCTCCTATAAGGCTAAGGAGTAAGTAAGCTGCTTCCTGACATCACTCAGCAGGATTCCTTAGCTGATCAGGAACACTGTTGCTAGCAGGCCCGAGACCACACACTTGGTTGCAGGGCTGACTTCTACTCCTTTTCCAGCTGGGTATACCAAACATACACTCCTCTTCTCTGAGCCTCTTTCCTTATCTGTAAGGCCAGCTCTCCCTCGAGAGTGACTCAGAGCAGAGGCTCTGGATGTGCCGGGAATCACAGATGTGGCCTAGGCCTGGGGCTCTGAACATATAGCATCGGGAGCAGAAGAGAGAGATGGGGAGGTCAACGCTAACTCCCTGACTCTTCCTCTTCTCTGCAGTGGCCTGCAGGAAGGCTCTGGACAGCACCACAGTGGCAGCTCATGAGTCAGAGATCTACTGTAAGGTCTGCTATGGGCGCAGGTATGGCCCCAAGGGGATCGGGTTTGGACAAGGAGCTGGCTGCCTTAGTACGGACACAGGCGAGCACCTCGGCCTGCAGTTCCAACAGTAAGTTACTGCCATGCTTCTTCATGCTAGTCTCCAATTAGCAAGACAGTTCGTTCTGTTCCCATAGCAACATTTTCTGGAAGAGGGAGAATGGACTCTATTGTTGACTTGCCAACAATAGGAATACTCACTCCGACCAAGCCCTAACAATGTGTTGTCTCTCTCTTCAAATTATCTGCTTTTCTAAAGGGCAATTACTTTTGCATGATGGTTCTCAGTTTGCATGTCAAGAGAAAACCCAGAATTTACAGATGTTCCATTGTTTGACCTTTGCAAACTGCACGGAGTCTCCTTTCATCTCCTTTGAGAGCGTCTGTGTAAATCACATAAATACAGCAGGAAAACCAGGGTCATTCTCTGTGCGCTAGTCAGTAAAGATTTCTGCCTTAGATTGTAAGATGAGTAATGTCCGCAATGCAAGAGGAAGGGTCTGGAGTAGACCCTCGGGAGGAAACATCAATCTTGGTTTTGTGGCTTCCTTCGCTTCCTGCTGCCATACCTACATCGCACCGACGTCCCCCAACACAATCCTAAGGCTGTGGGCATCACAGTGGCCACTGCCAACTCAACCTCCCCCAGCTTCACTGTTGGGCACCCCTGACCACTAGCCAGAGTTGAAAACCGTCCTGATGGCCAGCTGATATCTGTCTGGACTTAGTCCTGTCGTGATTGGCCAGAAGGAGCTGAACTGAGCACCTCAGGGAGCAGTTTGTCATTTGGCCCATTGTTAAGAAGAGGGTTATCCCCACAGAGCCTGGAAATATGGAGGTGCTTTTTCTCATCGCTCTCCATCCCAGTTAGTGACCTTTTGCTAATGACAAAGTGATGACAACCGCCTGTTATCTTACATTATCTAAAGCCTGCTTTCTGACACTGGGAAACCAGTGAAGACCCAGGTGCCTTCCTAGCTCCACCAGCCAGGACTAAGGGCTAAAAATGCAAGGAGCTGAGTCTTTGCCTCTATTGTGGATACTGCTCTCAGGGGGACAGGTGACTTTGGGAAAAGTATGCAAGATGATAGTACAAAAAAAAAAAAAAATGAAAAGAAAAAAAGTAAACCAATGACAGCACAGACACACGAGGAGCGCCCTCTAAAGCGTGAGAGGGAAGACATACAACCATTGGTGAGGACGCCTATTAGCCCGTGCACACCCGCGACAGGCGCTGTCCTCAGAGATTTATCACAACCATCACATTTAACCTTCTCAACAACTGAGACCGGTCCCATGCTTATGGCCGCCACGGGAGACACAACTGCCTAGGGCAGTCTTCACTCTACTTATGTTCCCACCAGATCCCCAAAGCCAGCACGCGCAGCCACCACGAGCAACCCTTCCAAGTTCTCCACGAAGTTTGGAGAATCGGAGAAGTGTCCACGGTGCGGGAAGTCGGTATACGCTGCCGAGAAGGTCATGGGTGGTGGCAAGGTGAGGGTGTCCGGGTGAGCCGAGCGGCAGCTTCTCATCTCCACGGGACCCACGGGGGAAACGACATCCCTGGGGACTCTGGGTGGGGGACAGACTCCTTGGTTCCCACAACCCGTTCAGAAGGCACGCATGTCCCCCACTTCCCAATTTTGTGACTGTTACACAGTGCCACCCTTTGAGAACTACAGCTACTGAGTTTGTCCCAGTAAGAATGTCCCGGGGAGAAGAAACGCAGCTAAGCACGTTCGTGGGTCCCAAGGTGCCCAAGTCCCTCTCCCTCCTCCCAGATGTCTGTGTCCCGCCCATTCCTCTAGAGGCCTCAGCCCTAGAAACCCATCACCCCTGTGTAACTCAGCCCGATTCTGCTGTCACACACTTGCACATATTCTGGCTCAGGGAAAAGTCATCAAACGTACACAGAAACACGCACTGCCCTGAGAATTGGTTTCAAGCCCAAAGCCAGGGTGTTCACCAAGGGAGCTGGACCTGTGGAAAGAAAAGCCGAGTTCATTCTGTATAAGGAGATGGGGAGACAGGAAGGGCTTGAAGCTTAGGGGTGTCCCCACACAAAGACCGGCCATTTGTAGACATACAAGAGCTCCCAGGCCATGCCTGACAGACAGTGACATGCAGCAGAGAGGTGGCCTACAGGAAGCCAAGCCATATAGCTCCCTGCCATCATAGTTACAGAGAACAAAAATGAGCGGCTTGCCTGAATAATTGCCCAGCTCCTCCCCCTTTACTTCCTTGGACTTTACATGTAATATAAACATTACCATTGCCTCATGGGCAAGTCTTTCTTGACTGACTTGTCCCCTGGGTCTTGTCTCTGGGAAGACCTTTCCTGCTGAGTTCATTCTGAAGAAACACACACGCAAACTGTCATTATAAATCCATTAGCAGGGTTCTAAGAATTGCGGGCCAAAGCCATTGCATCTTTTTTTTTTTTTTTCTTGGAACCCCTGGCATTATTAGTTGAGGGCTCTGTTTCATAAGAGGAAGACCAGGGAGGTCTCACGGCTTTGTGCACTGCTGGTCAGTACCCTTGAAGCGGAACTACAATGTGATGCTTGCCTCCCTGATAAATAAATAACCCTCTCTCGACTCCCAGCCTTGGCACAAGACTTGCTTCCGCTGCGCCATCTGTGGGAAGAGTCTGGAGTCCACAAATGTCACGGACAAGGATGGGGAGCTTTACTGCAAAGGTAAGTGGCCTCAGAGGCTTTCTTGAAAGTTGGTTTGCCAAGGGCCTGAGAGGAAGGGAAGCTGTGCCACGCTCAGAGGCCTGACTACGTTTGCCAGGACTACGTTTGGCAGTGTGGGCTCTTGGAAGGTAGCAAAACTGCCCAATGGATAGGGTGCAGCCACTGCCCCCAGCTCAGGGACTCAGGACCACAGGTACCTAGAAGGGTGATAAGGAGGAAGAGTGAACTCAAGCATCTCTTTCCATGTGGGGGTTGACAGAGTGAGTGAAAGCATTTCCGAGTGATGGTGGACATTCCCTGTCAGGAAAGGAGAGAGCGAGCCAGCCCTGGGCAGCTGCAGGGGGAAGGCTGGGCGGGCGGGCAATTCGAATCGGCTTTTGTGGACGATCACAGGAAAAGTGTCAGTGACACTGTGAGGTGCAAAGATGTAGAAACAAAGGTTACTAGCGAGTCTAAGCACAGCTTCGTTTCTTTAAAAGTTAAATTTACCAGAAGGCTGCTACCGGCAAGTAAGAAGGATGATGTTTAGGCAGGACCTAAAATACCAACGGTAGTCAATATATTCTCTCTCATCTTCTGGTTCACAGTTTGCTACGCCAAAAACTTTGGCCCCACCGGCATTGGGTTTGGTGGCCTTACACAGCAAGTGGAAAAGAAGGAGTGAACGAGTGTGCATTCTCACAACCCTGCCAGGCAACAGTGGTACCACACAATCCCACAGATGCAGAGTTTGCCCCAAGCAGCCCCCTTTGTAGCTGGACAGTGTTTCTCTTCAGGAGCAGTCACAGGCTGCACCCAAGCAACAAGAGGTCTTTGGAAGAAAACACCAGAAGTGTAATCTGCAGCAGATGCTTCATCATTTACTATTCTTGGGGCGGGAGAGGCAATAAATGTTTTAGTGGCACTGTGTCTGTCTTCTTTGCAGAGAGGGGAAGGCTTTAAAGAGCAGAGGACCAGCTTTTAAAAAACTAGCTGCACAGGATGAATTTCTGTATCAGCCATGAAGAGAGACAGGAAAAAGAGGTAAGGGAAGACAGAGTCCCAGCGTCTCTACTCATCACCGAGAGCAGAGAAGACAACAGGAGGTCCGAGGGGCTAGAGAACACAAAGCGAATTCTAAGAGGAAAATCAAAACTAGTAAAATGAGTGGAAAGTTCCATCCTTTTGTCCCATCATGGGCTTCGCAAAAACTATGGAATCTGGGAAGTAACGACAAAGCTTGGCATGTGGTTCAGGGTTACAAATGACAGAGGAGGATTTTCTCTTATTCTACAATCCCTTGGGGTTTAGCGATTTTCTTAAAAACTCTCATATCAAATTGCTGGCCTCACAGCCAATTAGACATGTCCTTCTCTGCGTCTTCGGTGGCTTGAATATATACATACCTTCTTTAAGCAACTATACCGTTTTCCCCCAACTCTGCAATTCCTTAATTACGTGGAATACAAATATAAATTTCTTGATAAAAGCTATGAAAACCAGGTGAGGCCATTGGTTTCTCTACTCTCCGCGTCCCAAGAAAGGCTGTCTTTAAAACAAGCGGTCGCTTAGCACTGCTCACATGCTGTCTTGGACAAGAGCCTGTGTGGATTTTAAGAACAACACACTATTGTGCCCTGTAATAGACTCCGGGCTTGCCCAGCAGTCAAAGACACATGTGTGCCACCATGGCGGGACAATGCAGCTCCTTCCTCCTCTGCTGCATTTCAGAGAGCAGCCCCACCAAGTAAACACCCAGGAGACAGAAGCTAGAATGGTCACCATCAGCTTTGCCCTGTCCCTCATCCCCCTGCTCCACAATTTATGCCTCTTTGCTTCTGACTCCAGGGTCCTTCTAGAACACATCCCTCCATTCCAATTTGGTCTATGCATTAGTTTACTAGGGTTGCTGTAATAAAGTGCCACAGACTGGTAGCTCAACCAATAGAAACGCTCTCCCGTGCTGGAGGCTGAAAGTCTGTGATGGAGGGCTCAACATGATTGGCTCCTTTTAAGTCTCATTCCTTGGCCTATCCAGGCTGCTACCTACTGTCCTCACATGGTCTTCCCACTGAGTGTGCCTGTCAATGTCCAAACACTGGCTTTTAATGAGGACACTGGAGTGAATCAAGGCATATCCACATGATCTGCTCCAACCCTAATTTCTCTAAAGGCTTTATCTCCAAGCATAGTCATTTTCTGAGGGACTGCATGTGAGGACTTAACTTGTGAATTCTGGGGAGGATATTCCACGCAGCGAAAGCCTAGGCCCTTCAACTTACCCTCCACACAAGTTCAAGCTATGTTCAGATTTAAATCTGTCCAAACATGCCCGGTACGCTCTGCCCAACATGTCTTTGCTGATACTCTTCTTTTTGCTTTAGAACCCTGGAAAGTGGAGACACGCCCTGTCTTTACTCCTTAACCAAGTCAGATACTTTTTTGAAGTACCTGAACCCATCTTTTCACTCCCGCAGCCGGGGGACAATCTCCTTGTGGCGAATTTTGAATTTCCTTGCGTCCCTGTTAGAAAGATGCTCTTTCATTTGTAACATTCAACAAATCAAAGGTACTTTACAAATACTTGTTGACTGCAGTGGGAGAGAACAGAAACCAGACACAACACAAAATGTGTTAGAATTGGAGACACACAGTGAAGAAACTTAAAAAGAAAGACAATCAAAGAATCTCACGGAGGACACTGGAGTTCTCTGCTTCTTAGGCAGAGTTCACTTTATTTCCTAGACTCCTGTTACTGTCTGGGACTGATGATGGGGCTGGCCAATGGAGACCTGTCTGCCAAAATTTCTTGGAAGAGACTCTATGCCCTCTCCACACCTCTAGACACAGAATGTGGTTTAGACGTGGAAGCATTCAGTAACGCGGGGGCTCTGAAGGAAGGACACCTGCTGACAGCTAGATGGTGACAAGAAGGAAGCCGTATGCCGTGATTAGACATCAGTGCTGAGGATATTTAAAGCCGCCGAGGAGATAGTTATTATCGTATTAATTCCCCTGACTAATGCACACTTGGCGTATCAATTCACTACAATGAAGTTTTGCACCTTTCTGCTGTTTTGGGGGCCACCCTGTCCTGTGTAAACACGACCATTCACACACACACTTCCCTGATAGTATCCACTGAGTCTTTCCTTAGCCTCTGAATTCTTATGTCTTACTCTGAATGTCTTTTAACGTTTGCTACCTTATATTACAATTTCATTTATATCAGCTTTCCCTCTGTCTCACAAAGCTCCATGATTATCACAGCTCAATAAATCACCGTGAAATGCACTTTCCATCTGTAAAGACCTGGAATATGGAGGTTCCGAAGGTCTCAGGAAGAGAATTTGAATGAGTCCTGGCTTCTTACCTAGTCACCATCATTCTGATCTAAATGTTCTGTGGACAACCTGGGAAAACTTACTCGGTATGTGTGGTTTGTATGAAAACAGGTCCACAGGGAACAGCACTTTTGGTTACGGCCTTGTTAGAGCAGGTGTGGCTTTGTTGGAGGAAGTGTGTCACTGGGGTGGGTACTGAGGTCTCAGAAGCTCAAGCCAGGCCCAGTGACTCATTCTCTCTTCCTGCTGCCTGCTGATGCAGAACTCTGTTACCTCTCATGTCTGCCTGATTGCCACCATACTTCCCGCCGCGACAATAATGGGCTAACCCTCTGAACTGAAAGCTATCCCCAGTGACATGTTTGCCTTTATAACAGTTGCCATGGCCATGTGTGTCTTCACAGTAACAGAACACTACGGTAGTAGGGCTGGTGAGAGAGGGAGAGAAAACAGCTTGGGAAAGCCATCTGTGACTCTGATTACATGACTTACTTAAAACCTCTTATTTCATTCAACACATTCATTCCCATACTTATTCTATGAACACTGTAGGAGGCGATATTCTAGGTGATCGGCACACTACAGGGTAATCATACTAAATTCCCGTGTGACTGACCTTGGAGAAGACACTCATTCATTTTGCACTTAGGTCTTTTGCATTTAGCAGGAAGGAACAGGGATCCTGCCCAGAATGACACTGGTATAATAAAACAGCATCATTCAGGGGTGCCACAGGCCATGACAAGAAATTTAGCTTTCACCCTAAGACAAGAACCTAAGGAAGGATTCGGTAAGACAGTGACTGGTAGAGTTGTACAAACTATACTAAGAGTTAGGCAGAATCAGCATCTCTTCTAGAAGAAGGGAAATCAGGAAGTACTATCACCAGTCAATTATTCTTTTAATGGTACTGGGTAAAACTGAGATGAATATTTAAGACTGCATGTATTCAAATTCTAAAAGGGAAATTAAGTAAAATATTGCTTACTGGCATCAACAGTAATTTCAAGTCATCCCTAAAATCATGAAGTAGTTCTCCTATATCTGTTAACGTGTCTTCTCAAGATTCTACAGAAGTTAAGCATCAGAAACAAGTCTCAAGTATAAAAAAAAGTGTTTTTATTGTGTGAAAGCAAAACAGGTACATCTATTTAAATACTCTTTACATATTATAGATACAATAAAGACAAATAACTTATCAAAAATTACGAGTTTCAAGAGTACTATTTTTAAAAAGCCAATACAGTATCTGAAAATACTCTATTTTATCCATAATCAGTGACTAGTATGTTGTTTTAAAAAGTAATTCATGTCCTGGGGGAAGATATGAAGTATTTTAAGGATGCCCGCCAAACTGCTCAATAACAGGCTCTCCAGGTCTGACAGAGGATCGCGTTCCCACGGTTTTGGACCGTGGTGAGCTCGGCATGTCACTTTCCTTTCAGACCTCACAGCACCAACACGGACAGAAGCGGGCGGGAGAGAGCTCTGCGGTCTCCTCCTCACACAGAGCGAAGGGCTTTCTCCTTGGCTGGGTGGGAGACCATGGAGTACTGGGAGGTCCAGTCTATCACGCAGGGCTTCACTAAGCCAAAGCAGCCACACTGAAAGAAATCTGCCAGGTTCTGAGCGAAGCCAAGGCTGCCGAGGAAGGAAGAGAAGGCAGCTCACTATGTTTCCTGTGTTGCTCCCAAGAAGCATTCACCCAAACCGGAAGTGATCCAAATTGCTACTCCGAGACCCCGACACCAGGCCAACAACGTGAGGACACTTCCCCTCATCTCTTCCTTGGCCCCTCCTACTCCACTGCCGGTCACTGCCATTACCCAGTTTATGCCTGTTCTCACGGCATTGTCTCTGAAAGGCCCCACGGGCCACAGCTGTAACCAGGAAGGTCGCTTTCCCTGAGCCTTCTATAGTTCTCCCAACAGAAGTCCCAGTTCCGTACAGTTTACCTGATGCAGTGGAGACCGTTTCGCCCCGCAGAACCCGATACACTGACAGCCTCTTACCTCCCAAGCTCAACCCTTCCAAGATACTTCTCTGCCCAGAAGATCACATACAGTCTCCTCACTTTTGAATTCAAGACTACACTCAGTGACCAAACCCACCTCTGCAAACCTCCCGCTCCGAAGATGGCTGTTTTCCCATGATTATGAACTGTGGGCTTGGAATTCCTTCTCACCCTTAAATCCTCCTGTTAGGAGGGATAAGGTCCAGCTAGTAACCACAATCTCCCTAGAGCCTCCATGACTCTAATTATCTTCAGCATCACCTTTTCTCCATCAAATTCCTCAGACAGTTCTCTTACTCTAGCACAGGGAACACTTAACTTTAATGCACATACCTACGTCCTGTCTTTTATGCGAAAGGCAGTCTATATATACCAAACCGTGTACACGCCACCTCGACCACGCTGCCGTCAGACAGCTGCGTTCTACATGAGAGCCATGCTGCTGTTGGTAAAGGGTTAACCTAACTTTTCAGAAGAGGGCTGCAGGTGTTGAACTGTGCTGTGGTCTGTGAAGATGTGTCTCTACCTAAGGCTCCTTCTGCAAGGCTTAATTAAGAGAGGAATGGCCAATCCTCGCTGCAGCCATCTCTCTCTTCTCCATAGAGCCACACAGTAACATCACACCAGTCCCTGACTCCGTCTAACAGCCTAATGCCATAAGCAGGCTTTGAGACAGACTGCCTTGAGATAAGCACCGAGTGCTCAAATCCCTTGAGGGCTCTGGCTCACCTCTGTCACAGCCCCAGCCTCCCAGACACTGATGTAGGTGGCAGGAGATAAAGCGTGGTCTTTGACACCACAAGTTCAGAGTTCCTACAGAGCACTCTAACTTTAAAATTGAGGACAGGTTCTTTTACAGAGCCAACGTTCTAAGGGGACATATCCCAATCTACAAATCTGGCATGGGCAGGCACGCTACACAGAGACTAAGAGAAAGACCGGGGCTTGAAAGTCATGCTAAAGCGTACCACACCCAGTACAGCACCCTGTGGCTGGCCTGTCAGCCACATGCTCAACTATCTCATGCCGACTCCTCGCCAGCAGCACACAACCTTGTGATCCCTTGGTTCAAACGGAGAGGCCCCGTCTTGGCAAAACTTCAAAGGAACTTATGTTTGTGCAGAGTCCAGGAGACTGAATTCCTGACCTCAACAGGCATATGACCTTATCACTTAAAACCTAACACTGAGGCTTCCAAGAAAGACAGGCTCACCTCCACCAGACAGTAAGCTAGAGAAAGGAACCAAGTCAAGAAATCAGGGGCTGGGAATCTTCCAAGGCCTCGGTGAGCAGACCAGAATGCACTTACTTATACGGTGTCTTCCTGAGGGACAATGTCTGCTTCATGTGCTTGCTCTGCTTTAATAGGCTGATTCTCTCATGGGAGGTTAGGCCCAGAAATGCAATCTGAAAAAGATGGAGGTACATCCAGATTTACCACACCTTAAAAGTGCACTACAGGGTGGCAGTAATCACTTCGTACTCTACAAAATAATAGCTAGCCTGAATTTTATTAATGCTCAAGGAAGCACTGCACATTGACCCAGAATTATGAAATAAGTTCACTACAGCCATGCCTTGTGTCCATAGATTTCAACAGAGGAACACACAACTGTCGAACAAATCAAATAGGGTAAGGTTGCATCGGTGCAATTCTCACAGTGCCTGAGTTCCTTAAACCCAGAAACTTCTCTTTAAAAAGGTGTCAAAGAATAAAGTTAATACACTAAAGCGAAGAATATACAATCCGTAAATCTGAAGGGTTAAGATGATTAAGAAACTCTTAAATCATTATAGACCACAAGAGTTCACATGGTTAGCGCATCTGTAAAATGGAGCGATCATAGATTCCTCCTCCTACTGTGCCGAGGGTCTGAGGTAACACACCCAAGGCATGCATATGCTGAGGAGAGGTGAGGTTAGTGGTTCAAGGCCACAGAGCTGAGACAGGCAGGGTTGGGACTGGAAGGTCAGTGTGAGACACAGCTTCTGCTCCCAAACATCAGCGTGCACACTCAGTTCGACTGAATGCAGTTAAAGTGATCTTACGTTAGGAAATCAACGTTCCCAAACAAATAAATAGACAATTGTGAGATTCTGGTCTGTGAAAATTATCTGATACCTTTAGTCCACTTTTCTTCCTTAGTACAGACAAATACATCAACAGTTCCTTATTAATATTAATGCCACCATCCGTTTGTTTTGGAGACAGGGCTTGCTATGCACCCCAAGCTGGCCTTGAACTTACAACACTCATGTTTTTAACCTCTCGGCAGCTTGCATTGGAGGTGTTATGCCATGCCCATGGGGTCTACACCTCACACATCACCTTATCACTAGACCTTTGGCTAGAAGCAAGGCCTCTCTCTACCTCTGTTACACTTCGTTTCTCCATCCGTACAATAGAGCTATTACTCTGGTATGTTCCCTACCTCACGTGTTCACGATGAACTAGATGTGTAAATGCTCCGGAAGATGTGCTTATAGGTGAGCGTTAGTTTGTGGGTACTCGCTTGTAACCCTGATTCTTACCGCCTGGGCTGCTGACGTCAGCAGGATAGAGACGGATGCTTAGTTTTGTCAGTGCTAACCTGTCTCCTTAGCACTTCTTGACTCTCTTCACTTGTCCTCCTACTCCTATTATTATTTTCCTCATAAGAGTGGAATCTGCCCTGCTTTTGCGGAGCACTGTTCTACATCCTCGTCTGGTAATAGCTGCCTTACCCTGATCACTGCTGCCCACCTCCTGCAGGGGCACAAGGTAGGGAGCTCTGCAGAAGACTAAAGCTGCTGTGCCCGCCATGTGACCCCTGCCCGCTGGAGAGCGGCCTGTCTTTCAGGCGTCACCCTGCCCGCTGGAGAGCGGCCTGTCTTTCAGGCGTCACCCTGCCCGCTGGAGAGCGGCCTGTCTTTCAGGCGTCACCCTGCCCGCTGGAGAGCGGCCTGTCTTTCAGGCGTCACCCTGCCCGCTGGAGAGCGGCCTGTCTTTCAGGCGTCACCCTGCCCGCTGGAGAGCGGCCTGTCTTTCATCGTTCCCTCTCTTGCCGCTACCCAGGAGTTGGAAGAGCCTAGGAATTAACCGCCCTGCATTTGTGCAATACTTTACAGTCCCTATGCCCCCAGACACTATACAGTTTAAACGTTAAGATGGAAAGTACCTGAACGGGACTGACCGCTTCTGACTTTGCTACTCACTGAGTGGCTTTAAGCTCTACCATAAACTAAAGGCCAGATTAGATCATCCCTGAGTGGGTGCAGCCTCCTAGCAAGCAATGCATTATCCTACCCTCTAAGCTGCCCGTGAGAGCAGCTGAGCTTTATTCCCTTCATCTCACAGACAAGGGCACTAAAACTGAAGAGTGAGCCATGCCATGCTAGCCCTGCAGAGGGAACCCCGGAGGGGCTGGGCGCTAGTTTTCTGATTTTAAAGGCAAGTGTTTCTACCCAACTCGGAGTCCCTGAAAATTTCATTCACAGCCATATTGAGGATACCTGGAAGAGTTGATTGATTAGTAAAAATGTTGACCATGAGAAATGGAAAGCTGCTAGCATGAAGATATACAAAACCCAGGGAGAACAGGCCACTATTTGACTGAGGTAGGTCCATAGTCCATCTTCCTTGAAGGTTGTGGTACAATGGTTTGACCAGTCTGTAAATCCACAAAGGGAAAAGAAGCATTATTAACAACGACAAAAATTTAGCTATCCAGCCAAAAGATAAAATTATATAGTTCTACTGAGGGAGAAATGACAGACAATAGCATAGATCAGAATTTAACTTTAGGAATAGGAAGAACAGCTCAGGGTGGAGAGTGTCCTTGGCAGTGTGTATATGGCCCCAGCTCCACTCATCAAAAGCAAGAAGAAGGCAGAAACTCACCTTCAGGGGTTTATTCTCTAAATGCCAGCTCAGACCCTGGAGGCGAGAGCAGGGACCTGAGTGCTAGCAGGGCTCCCAGGGCGCCACACCAGCAGTCGACAGTAAAAGGAATACAAATAAAAAGTGCTCACTAAAAACAGCACACTCACCATAAAATACACGGGCTAGAGTGTTTTAAGGGTTTGACAACTGAGCATAATGACACCTAATAAAAGGTAATCATTTAAGAAAGTGATCCTCTTCACTTTAAGGAACATTACCGATTGAGTGCACTTACTAAATGTTATGAGCAGTTTTCCGCCAGCCTGGTCCCACAGCCGCGCCAGCCCCAAATAACACACAGAGACACTGTATTAGATATAAAGCTGTTGGCCTGTTACTAGTGTTTCTTATCGGCTAGCTCTGTCTTAAATTTGACCCATTTCTATCAATCTAAGTATTTCCACGTGGTCTTATCTTACCGGAGAGAGGGCCGGGCATTCTTCTCTCTCGGTCCTACATCTTCAAACTTCTCCCTACTACTTCCTGACTCCTCCTTGTCTCTTAGTCCCACCTATTTTGCTTTCCTATTTGCCAACAATGCTTTATTCATTAACCAATACCAATACGAGAAACATATTTACAGAATGACATCTTCCACCAACTAAAGGTTCAGGTGATCAGGATTGCTGTGGGCACAATACGTAATACAAGCATCTGGATACCTTCAGGGTACAACCTGTGACAGGGAGCCAGGCCTGGTGGCCCTCTGCCATTGGCCTGATTCACAGTCCTCCCAAGAAAGGCCAGGGTAAAGAGCCTCACATACAGACCAGTCCAGCACAAGAACACAGAGAGAGTCGCACGGTCGCCGCCCACTTTCGCCTCCAGGCTGTCTACAGGACAATTAAAAGAGGCCATGATTCTAACCCCTAACCACGAACAGAGAGCAGCGGCAGGGGGAAAACAGGTAGGAAGCAGCAGGAACAAGGAACAGATCTTCAAGGTCACGGCGTACATAAAGGGTAGATGACTCCTGAAGTGACAGCTCTGAAGATTTGCACTTTGATGCTTCACAAAGCCCCCAACAATTTGCAAGCAGTTTCAGACATTCACCCAAAGCAGCGTGAGCATCTCCCGAGACAGGAGGAAGATGACCCAAGACTGTCCGTTTTAGTCTTGAAGATCTACTTCCCCCGTTGATTCCTAACCGTCTCTCATGAATATATGCCTAAAGCGCATTAAGAGCCGAGTAACAATCACGGCAGCAATGACACAGTTTAGTTAGAGCTTCTCATTAGGATAGCGAAGGAAGAGGCGCCCTACGCGCCTGATGGAAAAAAGACAAAAAGAAAACAATTTCCACAGCAGGTGGGGGAGGGGCAGCTGCTGGACGGGAAGAACACCGAGCTTCTTTTAGCTTGTGGTTTCTACTGCTTCCTCCCGTGTGTCTCCCCTTCTTCTTGATAACAGCACGGCCCACAGAGAAGCCTCACCCTGACTTCAGATTTAGTATCAAAGATATGGCTGCAAGGGCCATCCACATTATCTTATGCAAGGTAACAATTTAGTCCATGCTAATGCGGCTTTCCTTGGTAGTCTATGGTTAATGGCAGGGGACTCCCCGCCCCCCTTTACTGAAAACAGTTTCCCCCCCCTCACATAATTATGGTTTCCCTTTACCGTTCCCAATTCTCCCCCACCTCCACTCTGTCCAAATCCAGTCATTCTCATCGTTCCGTAGCTCTGGCACTTACATAGCCCTTCCGGATGCGATGCAACGCCTTTCTCCCTATAACTTGCAGGATGCTGACTTCCTGATCCGCCACCTCTTTCTACTCTCAAAGCAGACCTCACATAAGATGAAGTGATGGAGTCTGTGCTGGGATAGAAGAGCAGGTAGTGGGCCACGTGAGCGAAGAGGGTAAGTAGCAGAACTCTAATGATAGCTCGACAAGTGGAACACAGAGGCCGCCTTGTTACAAGAAATGGAGCACAAGCTTGTGTTGACTGGAGAAAAATGACAAATGGCCCAATACCGTCATCAATGACGAAGGAATTTAAGTGATGTGACTCCTCACAAATAAAATATCAAGTGGAAAGTGGTCAAAGCCAGACAAGGAAAACAAAGAAGGGAAAGAATAAATCTGTGTCACAGAAACCAACGTGGGAAGGCTGAGTGCGATGGGAAGTTGCTGTTGTGCTGGACGGCAACACCAAAGAACATGACTATTTTTAGTGAGGAGCAACAAGGGTGGTGTGAAGTCTGGCCCCTCTCTGCGAGGATCAAGTCCAAGGGACAAGCTAGCCCACGCGCCAGCTGCGAAGGCTTCCAAGAACAGGTTTCATTGCCACCTTAGAGGGCAGCTGTCAGAGGAGCTCTGTTAAGATCGCCAATGCTCTTCCATACAAGACACAATCTAAGAGGGTTCAAAACGCTCAGGGCTGCTGTGGACTTGGACAAGAACCGAGCCCTGTTTGAGCCAGCCATGGTTACATTTTATAACCCGTCCTCTAGAGAACAGACAGCCAACATATCAGGAGAGAAAGGTCTGACAGGGGCTGAACCCTGTACTATGCCTGTGTCTGCCTGTGTCAGGGCCCACGGCAACCCAGTCCACACAGACACTAACAACCCCCAAATAAGAAAACTCAAACACAAGAGTCTAACCCCGCTGTTTGCGGGCGGCAAGTGCAAGACGGAGTAGGTACACTAAGAGCTGTCTCAGTGCTGGTGACTGGCTTAGTTGCTTAAGGCTGTTGCTGCCAAGCCTGCTGACCTGAGTTTGATCCCTGAAGCACACGTGGTGGAAGGCAGAGAACTGATTCCTGCAAGCTGTCCCTGCCCCCCACACACAAGTAAATGTAAGACAACAAAAACACGCCCCCAAAAAATCCCTCTAAATTTAAACAGGGAAGCGGGGATAGAAGTGTGGGCAATGGAAAGAGGAGACTGTCCGGGAGGACAAGCGTGCTAGACGCTTGCAGAGACAAAAGGAAAGCCATGTGTCCCTGAAGACCAGCTTACGGCAGTAAGCGAGGACATTAGCGGCAATAAAACAGGCGGTGGGGTACACGTGGAAGACTAGGAGGCGTCAAGACCACGTCTAAATTTTCCCAGTCTTCAAAAATACGTAAACAAAAAACAGTTAAAGCCCAAAGTTCAAATACATAAATAAATACTAACACTACAGGCTCTTCCCTAGGTGACCTATCCCCAGATGTGAGGAGCAGGCACACGGGCTCTTCCCTAGGCGACCTATCTATCCCCAGATGTGAGGAGCAGGCACACGGGCTCTTCCCTAGGCGACCTATCTATCCCCAGATGTGAGGAGCAGGCACACGGGCTCTTCCCTAGGTGACCTATCCCCAGATGTGAGGAGCAGGCACACGGGCTCTTCCCTAGGTGACCTATCTATCCCCAGATGTGAGGAGCAGGCACACGGGCTCTTCCCTAGGCGACCTATCTATCCCCAGATGTGAGGAGCAGGCACACGGGCTCTTCCCTAGGTGACCTATCCCCAGATGTGAGGAGCAGGCACACAATTCTCAAGAGCTCACTAACATCCTTTGTGCTTCAGATTAAGCCCTGTCCTTCATCAGTCACCTCAGAACAGCCCTGCATAACACACCTAGGCATCTCTAAAAAGTGCTGCTGAAGGTTACTTCCTGTTTCAGGGCTGCAGAACAAGGGAGCCAGTATTTTCTTCCCAGTTTCTCCTTTGTGGCACTTGCCCCCTCCGTTCTCAGTTTCAGTGAGATTCTTCTCGAACGGCCTGCACTCTGAGAGCTTTCTCTTTCACTCACCTCACCGTGACCACCTTTCCTCCACCTCCCACCGCCAGCCTCTTCCTTTCCTGTCTCCTTCGCTCACCACCTCCTGCTCTGCACCCAGGCAGCGCGTCCCTCCTGCTGCACAGGAGGGCAAGTCTACACCCGACACAATGAGTTTCTACGCTGACCACTCAGATTCATCCAGGCTCTCCTCCCAGGCATGGCCAAATCACCTCTTCTTACCGCTTCCTGCTGCGAAGCGTTTCAGAGGCCACTACTTCGCCCTTTCACTGGGAGTATGGTTCACACACTGGCCAGAGCGCGGGCAGACAAGGGCCCACAGGGGGAAGAACTGGGTACGTGGGTGCACGAGCTTGTAAGAAACATGTATACTTACAGACAAAAGATCCATAAATGATCCAGTCACACACCATGGAAAGGGAGAGCAAGAAGAGGAGGTAATGATGGTGGTTGCCAAAACCTGAGTCAGAAGGAAAGAAACAGACTTAATATTTTCTCTTCCTAATGACTCCCCAGACAAGACCACTTTTCCGTAAAAAAACCTTTAAAGTCAGAACAGCAACAGGCTTGCTTTGCTTTTGAATTCGACTATACAGACAGCTCCGATAAGACGGTCAGATGTTCATGTTAAATAATGTTCCCTACTAGCCTAAAGGAAGACAGCTTGCATAGAGCAAGGTTAGCGAGGCAAGACCAGCTTTGGCCTGCACTACTCCGCTTGTGGGAAACGGCAGCTGGAATCACATCTGTCTCTTTCCCATGGAATGTGTTTGGGTGAGTACAACCTACGGACACCAAAGCGCAACTTGAAAGGAACAGAAACAGCAAAGCGGAAGAGTAGCAAGTGCATAGCCTACCTTGGCGGACGCTAGACTCAGCAAGTGGGGGCCATGGCCAATAAGAAGGCCACAGAGGGTAGGAGTGAGGGTGTCAGGCAACCAAAGCCCCTCCTACAACGTGTTAGCTGCTCGGTGGCAGAGGGGGAGCATTTCGGTGCCAACAACATAAATGCTCCTCAGTTGCCACCACATCAGTCCCATTTTCCTGTGAAGTAGAGTATTCAGTAGCATCAACTCCCACTGCTACAGGTGACCCTTGTTTATGATTACTAGCTGTGGTACCGTAGCCAAAGTCGTTGGATTTCCTCCGATCCCACAGTCTCGCTTGTAATAGCAAGAGGAAATAAGACCTCTCACTTGACTGTGAGTGAGCCAGTACTGTCAAGTGCAGTCTGATGAACGCAGACAGTAGATGGGCCCATTAGGACTGTGTCCTTGCTGCCACTCATTCTGGCTGGCACAGCGTCAATCATCTAATCTTTACGACAGAATGGGGCCTGGGAAGACTGGGAGCTGCCTGACCTGAAGCCTCAGGTTCCTCAGGGGACAAAAGCAAATCCCTATTGAAGACACAATCATACTTCCTCCTGTTAACTCTGGTTCTATCTCCTACCCGAGCACTGAAGGAGGCGGGTGCAGAAGTTAAGGAAGGAAGGTAAGTCACAACATAAGATAAGGGTGTGATGTTTGGAGTGGAAAACAAATACTACAAAATGATCTCAATTATTGACACCCCTTGCCTTGAAATGTAAACAGTAACAATAACCTCACAGGTATACTCTGATGATCATTTCATAAACTCTAAAACCCTACACAGACGGTAAGACAGTAGCCGTCATTAACAGTCAGTCAGTCATTTCCCAGAGTCTTAGCTGTACAAACACACCAACTTCACCAGAGGGTAAGAAAAAACCGAGCGTCCCACCTATGCAGCGTCCAGTCCAGAAGCAGTGCTGGTCAAATCGAGCCACGCAGGAGTTGCAGACATGGCAATGGAGTGATCTTAATGGCTTCCTTATCTGAGGGCAATTGAGAGACGCCTAAGCAGAACAGTCTTTGGTAACAGATCAAAAGCAAAACTTTAATCGCATGTCATAGAGGACTGGCACAAATGATCCTAACTGGAGACTTACTCACACACAAGCTCTGACAGGCCTTATGAATATTTACTTCTGCACATGGCAGAGATAAGCCCTCACTAGAGGAGACCCCAGTTCAGACACTGCTCACACTGGCTGAGGAAAACTCGGGCAGCGGCGGCACATTCGGCATGAGCACTGGAGTGAGAAAATGGAAATCTCAGTCCCATTTCAGGCTCCTCCAGTCATTTACTCTCATCTAAGGCTCAACTCAGCTGCAGGGTAGGAGGCTCCAGTTCTGCTGTTCTGAGATGACTTACGGTGAATTCTAACACACACTTCACGACAGGAAAAGGAATTAAAAGCACCATGGATAATTTACAAAGAGGTTAGCCACAGGGAGCTTCACGAGGTTATGGGGCTCCTTCACATGCTCATGGTACAAAACCAGCCTGAGAGTGACGCAACATTGGAACCAGGGAAAGAAGAAGGAGAAGGATGCACACACATGCCATGGAGGTCGGACAAATGCTTACGTACACAATGCTACTAAGGATGTGCCCATACTGCGGAAAACAGAGAAACAAAGTACTAACAGAAGAGACTCACAAGACACGATGTGCAAAACGTTCTGAAGTCCAGACAGCCAGTCTCTGCAAGGGTGACAATATTCTGAAAGACAAAAATCTGATCTCAGCGTGCAACGGAATGGGCGGTGGGCAATGCATGGCTATGTGCCATCCTCACAGCTTCCACCCCACCCCCAGAAGTAGCCAGAACAGCAATTTGGCACACTCCCCACCCAACCACTTTGTTCTTAAAGAATGGGAGATTTCAAGGTGTTCTTTCATGCAGCCAAGAAATCTGACTCCATAAAAATTATACTCCCTCACTCCTTACCACCTTCTCAAATAACATGTAGCTCCCAGTTATAGCCTGTTACGACAACGAAACACACACACACACACACACACACACACACACACACAAACACACACCATTCATTAAAAAAAAAATAAAAAACACGGACAAGCACCCAAACTGAAGGCTGCAAGCGCAAGGCCTGGATCTTTCAGGGCAGGCCTTATGTAGCAGAAGACATTTTCTCTGACTTCTAAACCCAAGGAGCATCCGCAAAGAGGCCATGTTTCTCGCAACTTCACACATGAAGGAGAAAAGGGCGGAGGAAGCCACTATGCTCCAGCATCACCATCACCCCTTCATGGAGGTGGGTACTCTACACAAAAGCACTATCGAAAATTGTAATCGAGCGGGAGACCCAGCAACAAGAACCAACTGTGAGAAAGTGTGGTAGGGTATCATCACATTTATAGAAAACAGAGGTTTCTACAACCTTAGGTACAACTGTAAAGGAGCCCCAGTCTGATGATGTAACCAGTCTCCATTTCCATTGTCCTATGAGGCAGCAGGCACGTGACTATACACGAAGCTCTACCAAAGGCCAACATGGCCGTGACTGTCGGAAAAAGACTCACCACTTTCCTTTCTTCCTCAGAAGACTTGGTGAAGCCTGGATCCGTTGCCCAAGTCTTGTAGAAAAAATGGAGAAAGGCTATGATGCTGAGAATGAAAGCAATACAGAAAGGGCTGCCTGCTACATGTTATAGGCATGTTAAGGGACATTTCTGAGAAGAGCATCCCGTGTAACGTAAGCACACACTGTCACTGCCCCGGGGAACCTCTCCTTCCTGCAACCTGTCCCCAACTTCCCTGTGACACACACCGCCCACCCAGAGTGCCCCGTTCCACGTTCTGATCCTACAGAAGTCTGCCTTAGTAAAGACTGCCACGTCTTCATCGTCCAGGCCCGCTCTGAACGCAATCATCCAAGGTTCCCGAATTTAACTTCTCAAGTTACGATGTGGCTTTCCTCAGATAAGCTTCATAAGATCATTCAAAGCAACACAGGGCTGGGGTCAGAGACTTGAATGTACTTTCCCATAAAGTACACAGTGATCTGCATGAGATTCCTGCCAGAGAGTTCAGTAACCTGCCCCTTCAAACTGCTCTGATTTAAAAATTGCCCTCCTTGCACAATGAGTAAAAATTTCACACTACTGAAAACATGGGTACGTTTATGCTGAAGGAGACTGCTAGGACTACACACTGTGCACTTTACAATGTTTTTTAAACATTGTAACTGCAGAATGAGTATGCAGTCCTAAGTCAACAGGGCAGCGGGAAGCCTGACCGTGCCCAATGTAGACATTACTGGCTTGACACAGCATTACTGCCTCACGCGGGGTGGCCAAGCTACCTTGTGTCATCCTGAGAACAGAAAGGGAGGCCATACGGCAGATGCTCCACTCTTACTATCTATTCAAAGACTGGTCCACCGGCCAGCGTGCCACTTGCGGGAAAGACTGCTTGGAGCTGAATGCCAGCCAGCACACAGCCGGCTGGGGCAGGAGCTCTTTGAGTCGAGGCCAGCCTAGGCGATAGAGGCAGTTGGAGGTTCGTCCGAGCTCCTTAGTAAGACACTCTCTCAACAGTCAAACAAAAATGAAGCTAAACAGAAAGAAAGTGGGGAGGGAGAGGAAGAGAGGGAAGAGAAAAAGGAAGGACAGGAAGGAAGGAAGTGAAGGCAGACAGGCGGGCAGCTAAGGTCAACTCCCGTCAGGCCACACTGACAGCACTAGGCGGGACTCAAAGAGCTCTTCGTGGGCTTCATCCCATAATGAAGTTTGAGAAGCACCGACCTAACCCTGACACTAAGCACAAACACATCTGACTCAGACAGGCAGAGTGACTCCTGCGAGCTAATTTATGTCCGCTTGAACAACTCAGTCATTTGGAGAGGACCTAAACTGAGGAAATGTCCCCACCAGACTGACCTGTGCTGCACTGACTGGCGACTGTCCTGAGAGGCCCCGCCCCCTGGGTGTCACCCAGAGAGAGGCAGGTGGTCCTGGTCGTTAAGAAAGCAGGCTGGACAGGGACATAAACAGCTCCCCTCCCCCTCCATGGTCTCTGGAGCAGTTCCTGACTCCAGGTTCCTGCCCTGACTCCTCTGGAAGATGGACAACAGTCTAAAAGCTGAAACAAACCCTTTCCTATCCAAGCCACTGTTGGTCTTGGTGCTTTATCACAGCAGCAGAAGCCTTAATCAAGACAGTTTATCACAGTTAACATGTAAGTGGGGCTAGTTTTAAGAGGCCAGGTAAGTTGTACAAGATGGAATTAAAACAAAGCTTACAGTGAGAGAAGAGGGACATGTCTACATGACGTACAAGAGGTGGTTGTTTGTAAACAATTAGATAGACGCAGATTTTCTCCACTAAGTCCTCTAGTCCTGCAGGGTAAGCTGGCTGAACTAGGCGCTTGCACTCTAACTTTAAGACAAGTCCTAGAAGGATTACTGGGCTCCCTCCCCTAAATAAAGGGAGCTGCACCCTGACCCTCACGGGAGAGGCAAGCAGATTCAGTCACCAGCCATTCTTAACCTTCATTCAAAGCTCCCCTGTCTCTCCTCCCTCTTTTTTTCTTCTTTTCCTCTCTGCCTGGTGTTTGTTACCAAACCCAGGGGTTTGTGCTGACCTGAACGCATTGTGTAGCCAAGACTAGCCTCAAACTTTCCATTCTCCTATCTCATCTCCCAAGTGCTAGACTCACAGGCATGTATCAACAGCAAGCTTCTGAGTCTCTGCTACTTTATCTAAAAACCAAGTCATACCGAAAGCCGACTGAAACCAAGAGGCCTTTACACACATCCAGCTCTTAGACTTAAGTACAGCCAATATCACGAAGGAAGCATTCAGTGGCTCACCATTGCTTTAACCAAGCCGTAACTGTAGTTTGAACCCTTATTAAGGTCCTCTTTCCTTTCATCCAGTCCCTCTCACAAAAGCCAAATACATTACTTACCAAACACATAAAAGAGACCTAAAGAAAAAGAGCTGTCCCTAACACACAAAGTACTATTTATAAATGCCAATTACGTAGTGGGGACTATGCACAGCCCTTCAGACATCAGAGCATGGTTATCCTTGCAGCCACCTCAAGAGCTAGGCATCACTGTCCCCAACAGACAGAAAAACAGAGTTGCCCAATGGTACATAGTAACAAAAACAAAAGGTCACTCTGATGGTATCCCTGCCTATCTTGTGTGAGACTGGGTTCAAATCCCTGACAGGGAGGGAAGCCACTGAGTACAATAATGCATGTCCATAATTCCTACCCTCAGGAGACATTGTTCAGTGAGTTTGGGGACGGCATCATCAGCACAGCAAGTCCCAGCACAGCAAGGACTCTAAAGTGAGACCTCATCTGAAACAAACGAGCAAGGTCCCTAAATTCAGAACCACACTGCCTACTAACCAGGACAACATGTTTTCCACAATGCTCTTGACTCTCATAATAATCATGGGCTGTGGGGCGGAAGCCCCTGGTCAATCCTAAGCGGTAGCCTGAGCATGATATGTCCTAATATTTGGGTGAGGTCTTTACAAAGCTAAGCAGCAGCAGATCCACAGGGCAGTTCCAGCAACATATAGCACTCATCCTGGAAAACACTAGCCTTGGGTGAGGTATGCCACCTACTGGCCCACATGCCTTCACAGCAGCAGGCTCAAAAGGAGGGCCTGTTCAGCATGTGAGTGATACACTGCATCGTGTTCACTCTGACACCTTGAGATTCTATCTAGTAAGAAAACCAATTCTAACATAATATACCTTCACAAGTATCAAGCAGGTATCAGTTATAGTCATGTGAAAATTAATTTCTGCAAATGAGGTTAATAGACTACAATGGGGTTATATGTCTTGTTAGTTTCTGATTCTGTAAAATCAAAATATAAAATCTGGAATAGTTGAAGGTGTACATATTTAAAGAATTCATCAAAAACTACAATTTCAAAAATTATTCACTGACACAAAAGTATGAAACCCTTTTCTGTATAATGTCCACTGTCCCAGCATCTATGAGCTCTGGGTCATCTGTGAATGTGATAGAAACTATGCTGTCCTTAAGTGGTAATAAGAAAGCTAGTGTTAATTAAAACCCTCATCAAATCAGTAATCACAAGACAATTAGGGGTAATTTTTTTTAAAAGCCTAGAGACATCTATGGCATTTATGCCTTTCACTTAGATTAAAGGAAAACAAATCACAGTAGAAATAACACTTAGAAATAATAAAACAGCATTAAAGCAAAAACACGACACAATGCTGTAGGTATATGCACTCTGAAAACTCATATGCACATCCCATTTATTCCGTGGGAAAGATTCTTAAATTTCCCTTTTGCATTTCTTCGATAAGCACCCTGGCCTTTTCTTCCAGAAATATCATTACCAGAAAGAGACACACAGAAAGTAAGGCGGTAAGCTAAAAAGCCTGTTTCTTCCTACCACACTTCCTCTTTCCCTGGCACATAAGCAGAATTATTAAGTTTCACAGGAAGGAGAGAAGGAAGTCCGGAGGAAAGAGATACAAGCCTGGGCATGTGTGTGGTGTTACAAATGGATACAATCCAAAAAGCAATCCTTCTTCAACTTCTAGGTGACTGAATCTGGCCAACCTCAAGAGGACCAAAGGATCTGGGTCTCCATGTAATAAACACATTCACTAGATGTAAGATGTGTTTTCCATCTGAAACCACACAAGTAGGCCATAAAGAATAAGTAGGCCATGACTTAAATTCTTAGAGGGACCAGGGACAAAACGTGGTAAAGCACACGTAAGATGTCGTTTCACATCTACTCAAAGCACATTTAATGTTGCTGAGGGTCCCTGCCTGAGTCATTAACTTTGAATTTCTTGGCATTACCAAGGACCATGTTTCCCCAAATCTCTCCCACATAGCCAATTTTGGTACCCAGGAGACTTATTTAATCAATTGTAACTGCTGACCAGGTTAAAAGAGCCATCTGACCTTCAAGTATCTAAAAAACACCAACATATTGTTATGGGCCATAAAGCACCATGCATCCTGTGGTCATTCTCCTGGAAGTAAGAATACTAGAGACTAATGTCTACACAGCACCAAGTAGATTTAACAGAATTAAGTACATTCGAGACTACGCTCAGCCAGAATCAATATGTGAGTGTAAATACAAGTTGCATCCCCTAGAATTTTTTCCCCACTATCTAAGCTAACAATGGCATTACTGATTTTTGAAAGTAAAACAAAATATGTGCTTCATTTAAGCTTAAAGGATATCAGGAAAGAATAAGATGAACCAAGTCATAAATATCCAGAAAATGGAACTTAGCAGAAAGACTGTTGGTAAGTACACAAGGTTCTTATAGCCAACCAAAAACCTGGAAAAAAAAGCAGACATGAGGTGTTAGTGAAGTAAGGCATTGGTGCGAATCATGTCAAGTCAGTCCTAGCTCCTCAGTAACAGTGACAAGTCACAGCAGCAGCAGCTTTGGTCTTCCCCATGAGAAAACTGTACGATGCCCTTCCCAAAGCACATTCCAGCTCCTCTCAGCTACTTACAATCACTTCCTAACAACACATGTCAGTGAACATACTGTATTTCTATTGTAATATACTGTGTTTTTTTTTTCATGTAATTTTGAAATACACCAAAATGCAAAATGTGAATACTTGGAAATTCACCTTTATGTGTAAGCAAGTCCATATTTATGAAACAGCGGTGCACAAAACCTTAGCCATGATCTAGTTGAGGAGCAGCCACAACATGAAAACACGTAGCAGCTAAAATGACAGCAGTCACCACCACACTCACAATCTCAGTCCTACAGCTGGCAGCTTGATGTTCTTGTGTAATGTGTTCAAAAGGCTAATACTGTAGTTTCAAAAGTGATACATAAAAACGTCTTCCATGTCAAACTCAATATAGCCATCTGATAAACAAACATACCCTACCTAGATACATCTTAGGATTTTTATCAGAAATGGCTGCTAGTGGGTTAAAAAAAGGGGGTGAGGTGTAAGCAAGGATTGGCAACTGGTATCTACAACAAAAACATTTGAAATGTTGTTTAGTTAAAAGAAAAAAAAAATGCTACAATGGTCACAGACATAATTAGGACAAAAGCCTACCTGAGAAGAACCAAGGGCCTCCTCAACCTCAACAGGTAAAAATGGAGTCTACTGCAACCTCTGTGTCTGAACTAAGATTTTACCAGGAAAAAAAGGTGCACTTGGTCTAACAAAATAGTGCAATGAATCACCAAATCCACAAGCGCTTGTTATTTCTGACAGGTGTCACAAATCTAGACCAAGAAGCAACCATCCCTCAGCCAAATAACATCAGAAGTGTGCAGCTACTTACCTCCATAAACCGAAAGTCTAGAGGGAGACAAGAAAATAAGGCAGTGGACCAACCTGCTACATGTGTTTGACTCATATCTGAAATGTGTTCACATGCCAATCATCGTGATTAAAGACCTCATGTAGTTATAAAACCAAATCATACAATTATGTTTTAATAGTTTGGATTTTAAGAAAAACAATCAAATAACTACATAAAATGCTTCTGTTGTGGGCGAGCACAAATTGCTAGGTAAGCCCTTGTTGGGTCTAAGAAAATTCTAATGACTGATTCCTGCTAGTTTGGCTAAAAAACTTATTCAAATATCCAGTGGGAACTGAGTATTTTCTGAGCCATGTGTCTGAACCAGACAATTTAAGGTATTTTGCTATTTTTCAGAAATCTGAACTTCTATTCACATTTAAATTCTAATTCATTTCAACCTAACTATCCTGGTCTTTAGGTGACTAAGTAAAGATTCCTCTAACACTGTTTTTCTTATGACAAAAAGTCGTGCACAGTTATTCTAGAAAGTGCTGGCAGCAAAAGGACTCTGGAACAGGCACATTTACAGTCTCGGCTGGCAGGCTGCACGGTGCTCCAGACCTTTGCTACAGACCGTTAACTACAGGCAGGGCCTGAAGAGAGGAGAGTGGGCGATGCCACAGACCCGATGGCTTCACAAAGGGTGGTGTCATGACTGATTACAAATACACACAGTGCACCCGCCATTGTTCTATTTACATCCAAAGCCATGAAGGGGGCATTATCACAATTATCCTCACTTACAGATAGACACTGAAGCAGAGAGGGAGAGCAACTTGTTTGAGATTGACCAGTATGTGTTAAGGCTAAATCTGGATCCAGGAGTATAATCATGCCTATTTCTCTGTGTGATTTTTAAAGGGAGCCACAGTGTATTTACTGTTTCATCAACTGTTCCCAATCATATCCAAGTCGCTTCAACTAAAAACCATCAAGTAGAAAAATAATTACTATAAAATGAATTTAGGTGTAAAGAGGAAAAAAATGAAAAATGGATAAAATGTTTCAAGACATAAAATGGCTTCAGAACTTTATCATTGTTAAACTGAATGATATAATGCGCGGCCCACAGTATTTATTTTCTACCGATTGCCACCAAACGCCTCTCCTCTTCCTACCATTTTGAGGATGTTGTCACATGGTTTAGTAACATGTACAGCTCAACACCAATCCGAGATTGCAGCTGATTTAGAACAGAAATAGGCAGTTACATTGGAAATGCAATAACCAGCCTTGTACAGACGAATATACACACCTCGGAAATAAAGATGTCAGAAACAACAGTGCTACTAGAAGACATCCTTTTAAAAGCCAAGAGTCTGAATTGAAGTCCAGGATGTATCCAACAGCCCACAGGGTGATCATAGAGAGTATCAGCAGCAGGGAGAGCTATGGAGAAGAGAGTCTTAGAATTTTGTGGATCACACCTCCTAACGATACTTAGTTCAGCAAGTACAACTACTACTTCCTAAGCACAGAACAACTTAACCCAACTAGCAAATCTTCTTCAAATTTAAAGTATGACTGGCTTATAAGCCTTAGAGGCAATCTTAAAGTTTTTTGTTTTTGCTTAATGACATTTAGCCTTTTCTTTTCCTCAAAAAAAAAAAAAAAAGGCATTTTAAAAGGAAAGTGATAATAAACATTTAATTTTCAAAAATAATTTCTTTTCGATAGAACTCTATGTCACCAACAATACAGAAACTAAAGGGACTACAATCAAGGCTAAGCTGAAGGACTACAGTAATTGCACTTTGAACCCAACCTGGTATGACCCCTCCCTAAGAATGCCCGTGAAACGGTTCTGAAAGGGATGAGCTTGCTTTGGAGCATCTGGAACTGTGAATGGCTACGGACACCCAGGGGAGACCCAGGAGGCAGTCTGTACGACAGACCAGACCGTCGATTTTGGAAGTCTTTGGATTTATCTGCACAGAGGTGGGACTGTTGTGAGACAGCAAGTTCCCCAAGACCGTGAAGGCAGAAGGCTTGTAAGTTAAGAATAAGCTAATTCCCAAAAGTATCCACGGAAGACTGGTTGGAAAGCCGTGCCGAAAACCTGGGGAAGAGAAGCAGGGAAAAGAGGAGGTTTTTGTACTCAGGGGGTCAAAGGCTGAAATATTTCTTCAGAATGCTAATGATCCAGCTTCCGCTAAGCAGCAGGCTGGTGGTGGCGCTGGGCTCCACAATGGGGCATCTCAGTGCCTGGAGTGTGAGTCTCCAGAAAGCTAGCTTTGGAAACAGCAAAGAGGGAGCATGCACTTCGCCTGATCTCCTTCCACTCCCACCCCTGCAAGCCATTCTGGGAGGGAGATAATTTCAAATGGCGCCGAGTCTTCAAGGTTACCAGTGTTTACTTACTGATGAAAATAAAGTAGAATGCACAAGATAACCAGAATCACAACATCATTTCAGAACTGAGTGATAACTAAATGTGGCCATCACAGCTGTGAATCTGAAACCGTCTTCTACCTGAGCCACACGACTTGTCCACTGGGGGACCCCCGTGTAAACGGCTGTTCTACACATGGGACATGGGAGACAATGAACTGGAGGGCTTTTGTTTTTCCCCATGAAGCTGAAATCCCAGCAGGGAGGACAAACAGAGATGTTAAAGTACATAAAAAGCTGGGATGTGTGAGGCTTTGCAGGTGTGCTAGCTAGTTCTAGGTCAATTTGACACAAACTGATGTGAAGAGGAGGCCTAGGCTGAGACAGTGCCCTCTCCAGTGTCCCAGAAGCAGAAGGCAGAAGGCGGAGTGCATGTAGGGACGGAGAGGGGCGGGGGCAGTGGAGAGAGAGCCCGCTCTGGCTCTGTGGCGGTTCTTCCCTGACAGGCCTGAGGGACGTTCTCAGGGTTGATGACTGATACAGGCGGTGTCGTCTGGGCAGGTGGCCCTGTATGCCACAAGAAGGCAGGTTGAGCGATACAGGTAACATGGTAGTAAGCAGCGCTCCTGCACAGCCTCTGTATCCGTTCCCACCCACCAGCTTCCTACCCCGAGCCCCGCCAGGACATCTTTTGATGGAAACCTGTGAAAAACACACTCACCCTGCTCCAAGTTGCTCTTTGTTACGGTGTTTTATCCTAGCAACAGAAAGAAACCCTAACTAAGACAGCAGGCGACTGTCAGCATCTAGCATTTGCTACAGAGGAATGGGGAGATACCTAGGAATCTGACTTAGGTTTGCAAGAACGGGTCTGCAGGACTAATGGCATTGGGTATTGGTGACATGCTGAGGAAGGAATCAAATTTCACATATAAAATGAGGCAGGGCCAAGCAGAACCACAGGGCAGGAAGCCCGAGGGCCACCTCCTGAGATGTGGAAGGTGAGTGGAGGCAGGAGAAGAAGACAGCAGGAATTCTGGTTCTGGTGTGCCAGACTGCACGTGCCTACTGGATATTTCCTGATGTGCTATACTGCAAGGTCTATTGGAAACTGACTGGATGAGACAAACAGATGGTCTGTGCTGAAGAGAGAAACTTGGGGGATGTCAAGATGCAAATGCCATTCAGGGGATGAATAGGTAAGACAGTTTTCTAGGACAGAATCTTGGCATTGTTATTCCTAAGAAGTTGGGGAGTAACATCTTTCTTCACCCCAACCGAAAACTAAGCATAACACTCACAGTGATTTCCCACATAAAAATGTTGCATCTGATAAAGTGACTACCGTATTTGAGAACAAAAACATTAATTAATCAATCCAATATCCATTTTATCAGCACGAATTATATTCACAACTATGGCTTAGTTTTCTTAGCCATTCATGAGAGAAAGCTGAAGTTCTTAAACCATTTTTTACTATTTAGCTACTTTAAGTTCAGAACACTACTAAAGAGAGGAATTGCTAAGTTTAAATAAATGTTATGTTCAGTAGGAAAACAAATGTATGGGAACACTAATGGGGCTGGATTAATGTGGCATTGGTGACGCAATGAGGTCAGGTTCTAGAGACAAACTGACAGCAGGGCCAGCCAGAAGCTCACCAACATGGGTACAGGGCATGGCCAACAGCACGCACCATGATGACTAGGAAGAAGCCACTACCTAAAGAGCTCAGGAGGCTTAGCCACAGGTGGGCAGGAGCTCAGGAGGCTTAGCCATAGGCGGGCAGGTGCTCAGGAGGCTTAGCCACAGGTGGGCAGGGGCAGGACACCAGTTGATGCTTCCCATTGTAAATGTCTATCAGACACTGAACTGGGGCCAAGTAGGCGTCACCCTGAGAATCAAACCCCTTTTACATTTCACTTCATTCCTTAGTAATTAGCAGATCTCCACCAGCTAACACACAGTTTGGACAGCATCTACCTGAGAACCACCGTTAAACAACTAATGAAATGCCACAATGCTTTCTTTGGGGGAAGATGCCATTAGTAGATCCACTGCAACACAATCAAAGTTCAAGCTCTAGTCTCTTCTTCTGTCCTAAAACCAAAACGTTTATCACACAGGATACCTCGCATTTATGTAGCCACCTCCAAAGCCTAAACCTTTTGTTGGCTCTCATCTTGGCTTCTGTTTTTAGCATGTGAGTAATGAGCTGGTTTTTATTTTGTACAGCCATATCAAGAGGTGTTTCTCCCTTAAAACAAAAAGACAAAAAATTACATTTACAGTTTTTGATACAGTACAGGTATTAACAGTTTTATTAGAATCATAGACTCTCAACACATTTATTCTAACAATAGCTATTAGTGTTATTATTTTATCTTGTGGTATCTAAAACCCAAATGAATAGCTACCAGTACATTGAATATTCATCTTTAACTGAAGATATAATGAACAAGATGAACAAGGGAAGAAGAGAATACCAGGTCATACTTTAGCATTTCGGATGTCGAGGTTAGAACCAGCTTCCAGAAGCTTATCAACTGCACTGACATTTCCTGCTGCAACTGCCCAGTGAAGCGGAGTGTTCTGATGTGTTTTATCAACAGCACTGAGAGAGGGATTAAACTTCAAAAGAAATCCAGTTGGTTCTGGCCTGTCTCAAAACAGTAAAAATACCACAAGGCATTAGTAGGGATGAAGAGATGAAGATGTGAGGAGAAAATGCAAACAGAGAAATTTTAAGGTTACTGTATCAATTAACAAGTAAGCATTCTGAACAACTAGAATGCTGGCTGTTGTACAAGTGTCTTTAAAAACAAGAGTTATTTTTATTTATGTATAGGTGTGCAGAGACATACGTGTGCATGCCGGAGGGCATCTGATTCCCTAGAGCTGGAGTTGCAGGCAGTTGTGAACCACTCTATAATTGGTTCTAAGACAGAACTCTGGTCCTCTGTATGAGTAGCAAGTGTTCTTAGGCACTGAACCATCTCTCTGCAGACCCAAATGTCTTTTATTTAAATACTCCAAATTCAAAATTCAATGATCATGCTTGGGACAAATGGTAAACTTGGTAACGTCACAATCTAAATTAAACCTTATGCTGCCATAGCATGTGCGAACAGTAATAGCGAATGACTAGTTCTAGGGACTAGCAGGGAAGATCAAACAAGAAAGACAGCTGTTAGATGGCAGCCTGCTGTATCAGTGACATAATTTAGACGGCAGTACAGGGATAAGGGAAGTTCTCTTCACGCTGTTGGTCTAGTTAGTGATTCATATTTTTAAAAGCTGTCAGTTTAACCTTGGCTAATATTAAATAAATGGTGTACAATTATATACTAATTGTATGTCTTACTTAAGCAAATAAACTAAAATCTACCTTTATATTCTCTTTCTATTGACTACTAGGTAAAACAGGTATAAATACAGGCTGAATATCTTTCCCAAAACACTTGGACCAGAAAACTATCTTGTGTTTCCTTTTGGGGAATGGATATTTTAAGATATCTGCTAATCCTTAAGGACAAGCAGCAAATCTAAAATGAAATTCACCTGCTTTATATACAGCATACATATAGTCTAGAGTATTTTTAATGATTCTTTGCATTATTTATGGTGCGAAACTTTCTATTTAAGATATCAATCATGTCTAAAAAAATTCAGATTTTGAACATTTGGGACTTACAATTCTGAGATTAGCAATGTTCAACTTATATAGACATTCTGTTGTCTTAATTTTTTTTTTAAATTAGATTTTAAACATTTAGAACTTAGAATTCAAGATTAGGAATCTCAACTTAAATTTCTTAACACATTAGTACATTTAAAAGTGATAAGCTAAGTTAGGCAGTAGTGGTACATGCCTTTATTCCCAGCACTTGGGTGGCAGAGGCAGGCAGATCTGAGTTCAAGGTCACCCTGGACTGAGTTCAAGGTCACCCTGGTCTAAAGAGTGAGTTCCATCCAAGACAGCTACAGCCACACAGAGCAACCCCGTCTCAAAACACACATACAAAGTGATAATCAAGAAAACAATTCAATGAAATACTTTTTTTTTTTTTTATCATAATACTTGTCTTTCCTTGAAGAGATCTACCCACTAAGAACAAGATCTGACTTTACTTACTCTATTAAGCTCTAAAAACTTTCTAGCAAAATTCTAGCTGGTAGCTCCATCACTACATAAAAAGAAAACCAGAAAAACGGTTCTACAACAAATCCAGCTCCAGCAGGAGGTGTGTCAAGGAGGAGCAGATCTGGAGGTTCAGTACAAACTTGGAAACAAATTGATAATGAGAAAACTTAAACATGCATGTGCGCGCAAAGGGATAATGACAGACGACCACAGGGTGGGCATTATAAATATGTATCTGATCATGTCCTGTAATACCCTTGTCACTCCAGCTCCGCCAGTGTCTTCAGAGCAGTCAGCAATAGCAGAGAGCCTGAATTTTACTGCTGTCAGAAAGTGAGTTTATCATAGAGATTTGTGATTATGCCAACATTTAAATCTGCCGTCTGCCTCTACCCGCAAGATTTCAACCTAGAACCCAAAAACCCAAGAGACGCGGGGGAATTGGCCACAGGACAGGATTCTAAAAGTTTGAAAGTTTACAAAGTTTACATACTCCTTAGCATAGGCTTATTAATAGACTGATTTCATCTTTTGTAAACTTTCAAACTTTTCATCAAAGCTACAAAGATAAAATAAAGTCCTTCAATGGTGTACAGCTACTCATGGGCACGTATAAAATCGTCAGCATGTACTAGCATCTCACAGAACAAGATACTTGAGATTGCATTTACAGAAAACTAATAGGAACTAAGAAGCAGAACGAGGGGATCCAGTAACACTCACCCAATGACTTTGTAAGCTGATAGCATGAGAGGCGTCTGGCCGTTGACGTCTGTCATATTCACACTCTAGTTAAAGACAAATCAATTAACAAAACTGTGCACATAGTTAAAAAGTTGCATTTCTTAGTAAATACATACTTTGACACATTCGGTCCCATCACCGCTCTACAAAAAAATGGTTCAAATATTATTTTAAGCTTTAAAAAAAAGGTGCTTTTTTTTTGAGTAAAAATCCATAGACTGCTCCAAACCTTTTAAAGGGAGAATCTGAACATATGATATAAAGTGTTCTATGACGAGAAAGGAAAACAGATAGCTGACAATCACCAACCAAAATGACAAGGAGATCTTGAAGTCATGTAATTTAAGCCTTGACACATGGATTCATGCTAACATTCATCCAATAATAGAATTACCTAACTTCAGAGTCACTATTTTTTCGCATTTGCTTCAAATAGTTAAATAAGAAAAATTCAGAACTCTTTATATTTTCTGCAAGAGAAGGAAAAAGGAAATCATATCCTGACTAGGATACAGTCCTTCACAAAACAGGGCCACGCATGAGGTACAATAGTGGCTCTCATCCAGGCAAAGAGCTTAAGGTACTAAGGGCTCTTAAAACCCTAGAGGGACAGAACACAAAGGCCTCCCTTCTCACACATCTTTCCAAAATGAAGCCCAGGAGGCTATAATTATCCACCTCGCTGGGCTGTCTGAGGGAAAGTGCTTACTTATAGAGGGAGAGTAATCAATCCAGTGGCATTTGTGCAAACACGTTTCCACACCCATTCCAGACGAGACTGCTCACACATTAACCACCTTGCTGTCAGATAGCATACTCTAGCAAACACAGCTAACAGCGGAAACTCCCGCTGCTGACGGCCTATAATTTAACCTGTGCTCTGAAGTACATCATTTTCATGGAATTACTCAGAGAACAATAAATAAGACGCACACATTCAAATTAGCCTCCCATTTCAGCCCAAATAATGAAAGCAAACGATGGGTTAATAGTGATCTGACTACTATTTCTACACTCAAGCACAAGAAAAATACAGGCTTTGAGGTCATGTTTCTGAAAAACCCTGAAAATTACTGGTCTCGTCAGAAAAACTATTACAGGCTTACAAGTTTCAGAAACATTAAATGATGCTGAGCTAAAATAACCTGTCTTTCTCCCTCTAATGAAGCCAAAAAAAAAAAAAAAAAAAAAAAATCAGTGCTCAACAGCTAGGTTGGTTTACTAAGGTTAATTCTGAGCATCTAGATATCCATTAACTTCCAGTTTAAAACTCAGCGTAGAGTTCCCAATGTCTTCAGATCACACAACCTAGAATATAAGGGACATTTCAGAACATACCTGTCCCTTTGAGATGAGATATGCTATAATAGGCATGTGCTGAAACAGGACTGCCAGATGAATGCTGCTGAATCCCTCTCCATCAATCAGAGTGGGGTCTGCACCATGCTGGAGTAATAATATGACCATAGGCAAATGCCCTTGTCTGTAAGCAGAAAAAATTTAAATGCACTGTATTCTGTAGAAGTAGAATTCATGCAGAAAACCAGAAAAATATCCAGGAAGAAACTACACCTCTAAGACACAAGGGATTCTGACTGGATGAAAGGGTATTTTATAATAGGAAGATGTCATTTACTCTTAAGAAAGAGGAGTTATTTTTATTTATGTATAGGTGTGTAGAGACAGATGTGTGCCTGCCAGACAAGGACATCTGATTCCCTGGAGCTGGAGTTGTAGGCAGTTGTGAACCACTCAATAGTGGGTTCTAAGACAGAATTCTGGTCTTCTGTAAAAAAAAAAAAAAAAAAAAAAAAAGCAAGTGCTCTTAAGCACTGAGCCATCTCTCTCTCCAGCTCCAAATATCTTTTATTTAAATACTCCAAATTCAGACTTACATGATTATGCTTGGGGCAAATAATAAACTTTTTAACCTCACAATCTAAATTAAACCTTATGCTTTTATAGCACGTGCAAACAGTAATAGCAGATGACTAATGCCAACAATGGAAACGTTAAAACCCTGCAGTTTTAGAAACTAAAACATAATACGCTACAAATATGAAAGCATAATTATTAAGACTATTGTGAAAGCATAACCAAATATATATTTATAAACCATATTATTAAGAACTATATACAAATAAGGAACCATATATATACATATGTATATGCATATATATGGATACATATATCTTCTTAAACATAACTCATTTTCATATAAACTAACATCATCAATAGTCTGAAGAAGAATAATCCTTAGGTTCTTCAATACTCTTGCCTATTGAGAAAAGATGCAGCGCTCTGCTTTGCAGTAACAACTGTTCACTTTAGTTACAACTTCACCAACCAGAGTGGGTTAAGAAGACTGACTCCCTCAGCTTCACAGGGTCAGTGTACCGCACGGAAAACAGGGACACTAGATTCCGTAAGTGCTATTGTAAGCCGGCCTACTCAATATCATCCTGCATCAACTTCAAAGGAGGGTACCCGTTTGATCTTAAGACAGAGATGCACTTTACTTTTATTTTGAGAGGAAATCAATCTCCCTTTTTTCTATTTTGAAGACAGGGTTTCTCTGTGCAGCCCTGGCTCACCAGGAACTCACTCTATAGTCCAGGCTGGCCTTGAATTCAGAGATGCATCTACCCCTGCCTCCCAAGTGCTGGGATTAAAGGCATGCACTGCTATTGTCCAGCAAAATCATTCTTAAAGGCTGGAAACTGAGTTTACAGTTGAACTACTGCTTTTATTCATACAAACTAAACAGGAGCAGTTCATTCCAGTCTTAAGACAGAAATTCCAAACATTTGAGTCTGATAATCATACTGGAGCACAGAATCAAACACTAAACAACTCTCTGGAAATGCTAAAGCAGTACTTTATTGTGAAAAGAAGAGAGAGGACAAAGGAAAAGAAACCCATTCCCCTGCCTACAGCTGAGGTTATGACCCGATGCCATAAGCCAGCCACATAAGGCTTAACTTCAGCTAAGAAAGACATCTTACCGGATGGCCCAGTGAAGAGGAGTTGAATTTAAATCACCACCCAACTGATCTATCACAGCACCTTTGGAAATATAAAACCTGTTAAAGGCAATGAAAATAAACTTTAGCTTCATACTGAGAAAGGAAAGTCCTTCCTCCACCCCACCCTCCCAACCCCACCCTAAGACAGGTTCTCCTGTATTCTAGGCTGGCTTCAAACTTGCGGGGTGGCCAATGAAGACCTGAACTAACTTCCGATGCTCCTGTCTCCACTTCCTGAGTACTGGGATCACAGGCGTTCGCTGTCACATCCAGTTTTTACGTGGCGCTGGGCTCCAACCCAGGCCGTCTACCAACCCTACCCAACTTTTTCTTAGCACTGTATTATAAAACAGAAATTAGAGTAACTCTCCTAAAGGGAGACATAAGTCTCCAAACTATGTAGGACAGCAGCAGACAAATCTCTGGTGAAACACTTCATAGTAAATATATGTAATTCTCTCTGCTGTAATTAGCATTCCACTATCACCTACAGCCCTAACACATGGTAACTTCCCTGAACGTTCTAATGACTATAGACTCTTTTTTTTTTTTTTTTTTTTTTTTTAGTTCTAGTGTCTTGAAAATCAAGTGAACATTTAATAAGATAAAGGAATTTCCACGTCAGGCCTGGGGAATCTCGGTGCAACTATGGAGAGTGTAGCACTGCTCCAGGTCCGTATGTGGTCCTGACATGTCAGCATCAAGCAGAAGAGACCCACAGGGTCCACAGTACTGGGTCTCTGTGGGAAAGGCCCCCACACAAGGCTAAGAGCTGCCGTCCTGTGGAGGTCACACAGAGGCATCGGGCAAGAGTTCACCTCCTTTTCTCCACAGATTCGAGTCACACACAGGCTGTTCAGCAGACACACCGTGGACTACAGCACTTTTAAATAGTTTCAAAAGTGGAAAGAGAGAGGTGAGATTTCATCATTTTTAGCAGTTCAAAACTAGAAGTAGCATGTGGAAATGAATTCTTAAAGTAGCAAAAAATGAATTTAGACGAATTAGAAATTAGGAATGTTCTACTTTGAGAACATAAGGTATGTACTGTATACAGTAAACCTACAATGTAATGTAAACAATTTTCATCTCTAGAGATGAAACTCTCTCACTTCAAAGATACGAATTTAGTCTTTTAGGACTCAAGGATTTTATACATATAGTCCTCTGATAGTAAACATATTCACTCAAATACTCACCACCCACTAGCATTTTACACATTAAAGTAGAAACTATGATACCAAACAACAATGGGTAGGCAGCAGGGCTTTCTTTATGAAGAACTATGTAAACCGTTACATGCTCACTTCAAACAGTATTCCACACTTAACATTTTTCATTCTCTACCTATCTATTCCTCCTGCTGTTATATCGTAAAATAGTTCGATGCTTCTTCCAGATTTAGATGCAACTTCTACCCTGACAATGTTTGTGCTGTTACTCCTTTCTTTTTAAAAGGCACCTGCTTTCATTTACTAGCCTTTGTATGTATGACAGGTCCTGCTTTCATTTACTAGCCTTTGTATTTATGACAGGTCCCCTTTATGACTGCTTCTCTTCAGCACGTATAGTAACAGATGTGCGGTAAGTTCCAGGTATCCATTTACAGGAGAAGACCATAGGTGGTCCATCTCACATGAAGAACGAGTGTGAGCCCCAGAAGCACGAAGACCAGTTCACACGCACATGCACCCATCTTACTTTACAAGCTCCAGTCTGTTGTTAATGGCAGCCCAGTGAAGTAGAGAAACATTTTCTCTGTCTGGTTGTCTGACATCATATCCTGCTTCTACCAACTCTTTACATCGTTCAAAAATTCCATATCTTAAATAAGAAAAGAGAAAAGCATAGTTAATACTATCCCAATAGTTTTATATGTAAAAATTTCTTCCCTTTACCATGACTTTTTTTTTTTTTTAAATCCAAATAGCTTTTTAGTCAACATGGAAATACAAAGTAGTTGTCCCTCAGCATCCTTGGAGGGATCCCTGCAGATGCAAATATCTGTGCATTTTTAAGTCCCTTACATGAAATGGTGTCATATATAATAATTATGCATGTCTTCCCACATACTTTAAGTCAATTATATGTTTTTTTACACAATATAGATGCCATGTAAACAGCTGTCAAATGATGCTAAATAGGCAACCAAGACAGTTTTAAAATTCTATGAATGTACAGTACAAGAGCTGATGTGGTATTTCTTAAAAACATTTCGAACCTGACTGGTTGAAACTGGTTGCTAAACTACACAATGGAGAATTCTTAGATATGGTCTCAGTCTAACTGATGCATAAACAGTATAAAGCTAAACAAAGTAAGCTCAGTGTACGTACTGACGGATTAATCCATGTGGAGCTGAAGTAGACCTTAAACTTCAGTGCTCACACCTGCCTTCCTTCAATAACTGCTTTTGTGTAAGAACATATGGTGCTGGACTACAATCTTATCCCTGAAGCACGCACAGCTCTGCAACGGCCCTCCTGGTGCAGGCAAGACCCTAAAAGCAAACTTGGAATGGGAAGAATTCAACAAGAAATGGATATGATGTAGACCTAGGCAAGGGAGAGAATGATGAGTCCTTCCTGGAGAAAGTGAAACACGATACCCATGTTGTATTTTAAGAAGGGAGGACACTCCGGACAGGAGGAATAACATGGACAGAAGCTGAGAGGTGAAATACCATATAGAAACAGAAGCAACTTGACGCTGCCGAGCACAAACAACACAGTAGCGAGTGAAGGGCGAGGCCAGGCCACACAAGGGGGATGAAACTGTGAATGTCTCATCTCTAGCTCAGTGGGGACTTTCAAACCAAACTTGAAAAGGCACGTGCTGAGAAGCCGAGTTTCAGGGTTTCAAGAAAGATCGCACTAGTGGCACCATGGAAGTTACTCAGACTAGAGTGAGAATAGAGTTCCGAGACCAGCACTGGGATGATGGCAGAGAATACAGGCGATGAGAGCCTGGAGTGTGAGGCAGGCGGCAGGCACGGAGATACTGAATCTACGGAGGTATTTCTTCTAATACTCGCATAAATTTAAAAAGCATCCATTAGCCACACACATTCCACCTTCTGGTTTCTCAAGGGAGTTTCTCTGTGCAGCTCTGGCTGTCCTGGAGCTTGCTCGGCAGACCTGGCTGGCCTCAAACTGAAGAGATCCATCGACCTCTGCTCCCAGAGCGCTGGGGTTAGAGGTGTGCACCGCTGCCGCCGCCGCCGCAGCCACTGCCGCCACCATGTATTTCTTTTCAACAGAAACTAACCACAACCTCCGTTTTAGCACTTTCTCTGAAACGCATTTCCATCTAGAAGGACCTGAAAGTGTCAACTGGCTCTCAGAGGTCAAAAGTCACACCAACTGGTGAACTCACTTTTCCACTCGAAATGAAAATGTTTCTGCGTGATAAAAATGTGCTCGTGCCTTTGCAGCATTTTAAAGAGTGGAGATACAGGTCTCACAATGCTAAGCGAAAACTGTATGTGGAAGCTTCTGATAATGACCCAGCATTGTAGTTGTCTACTCCATCTTTCAAAGGTCACCTTGGTTATTTTACTGGAAAATAATTCTCCTTTTTATTTGACAAACATTAAGAGAACATATTATTGGTCATTTCGAATATCTGTCTCTCTGCTTATTTCTCCTTCCCAAATAACTAACTAAAGATATTTCCATGTTCATTTGAGAAGGTTCAAGACCTAACGGAACATCAGAGGTGAGTTTTTCCAGAGCTTCCCGTGAATGCAGCTGATATCTAGCATTTGGCACGACAGAGCTTTCCAGGTGACAGAGATATTTCAATGTTCCCCTTAAGAACACTCTTGTCTTCATAGCAACACAAACTACCAGCTAATATTTACCCAATGTAGCAGACCTGGAGCCTTTAAACTTTGGTTTAAGGATACTCAGATAATTCTCAATGTATGAATAAAGAACAATAAACATTAGTCAAGCCAACCAGTGACTTAACAGAAACCACATCAAGATAGTCTGGTAATACTAATTTTTTAATGATGATTAGATGAGTGTGACTTATATTAAATAAACATTATAATGTTTATACTCAATACTAAAATATAAATTGCTACTTAGTTCTGTCTGACAGATAACACTTTTTGAAGTATCCTCAAAAGCAACAGGTGAGATGGGCACGGAAATAAACAGGCTCCATGAAGATGAAAGCATTGTAGGAATTGACGATACAGATGCCCACGTATGATCGCCAGAGGCAGCACCATTTTAAACGCATTTCTGTTCTCAGCACAAGGGACAGACCCATTATTTGCTTCAAGTGGTCAGAGAATATACTTCTGTCTGTCCGTCCTCTGGTGCCAGCGAACAAAAATGTAGGCAATAGAGAATTATTAACAGATAATATTTACAAACATGAGCTGGTATTTCTCATCCCATGCCTGTATTAGGTTACAGCACGCTTCAAATTCAAATTCTGAGTGGTTTTAGTCTTGTTCCATCCATTCAGTACACAATTTACCAGGCACCCAATGAAAGACTAAGCAGGAGGCCTGGGGCCACAAACATAAAGGAGACACCACCTTGCTCAAAAGCAGCTCATAATCTAATGGAGTTGCCTGACACACAACCAGGCTCTGCACTGCACTACGCTCTCTGATACTGAAACAGCAAATACACTTGGTGCTGCTGTTGAGCCGTTTGGATACATACCGTAACAAGTGCCCGTAAAGGACCATCAACTGCACACATACTATTGTAACTGAACAGGCTCTATGATAAGACAGAGCATCGAGCAGACTCACTGTGTAGCTTTGACAATGTCACAGTTACTGGAGTCCTCTGTAAGAGGAAGAATTTCTTTTGCCTTCGAAAGGTCTTTGTTTTCGGGAGTGCAGATGCTGTGGCGACCAAATCCGGGAAGGTGTGAGCCATGGCTGTGATTCCTGCACTGAAGAGTAAGAGCAATTGACAAAGCATATAAAAGAATCAATGTCATAATTAATTATATACTATCAACAACGCCAATGCGTTAAACTCTTATTGGAGTATCTTAGATGCTTAATATTAGAAAAACACAAAGTACACATGTTGACATGGGTTATCTGAAAAGGCATGAACACAGCTGCAGTAGAGGGTCATGGCTACTGATATTGTAAGACCATTACTAGGGTCTCGTTTTCTTCCCATTTCCTAATGAATCAAGCTCTTGTACTTTGCTTTCGCAATGAAGATGGAAACACCCTGGGCAAGCATCGCGGTAAAGGCGGTGGCATAGTGTCTTCTGTGACAACGGTGATAAGACTGTCTTAGCAGAGGTTCCTACAGCTTTTGCAAAATCAGGTTGCTATGAAGCAAACAGGACAGCAAGAAGCCTAAGTGGCAAGGACCGAGGGTAGCTTCTAGAAGTGGAAGTGCCCCTGGTGACAGACATCAAGAAAATGAAAACAATTAGCAAGCATCCACAAAGCGCTGGCTTACATTACTAGTCACATGAGCTTGAGAAAGGACTGTAAGCTCCATAAGGGAACACAGCTCCGCCATGACACCAGCAAGCAGAAAGGATGAACTAATAAACTCTCTAAGCCGCTGTATGTGTGGTCATTTGTCATCGCTCAGCCACAGATAGCTAGTACAGAAGTGACCACAGAGTTCAGGGAAGGATTGTCCCCTCGGGCCTAGTAGTTCCAGTTCCAAGGGATCTCACAGATCCCTCACACAGGCATACATGCAAGCAAAATACCAGCGTGCACAAAATAAAAAGAAGTCGTCAACAATTAAAAAAAAAAACCCATCTCTCAAGGGAATTCCCAGCTGCTTGGGGTTCAGTTGATCTCAGGTGGAGTCAAGTTAACAATCAAAACTGGCCGTTAACAAGCTGAGCGGTGGTGGCACACTTGACAACTGTCAACTATGTCATTAAAACACCAAGTAGACAGACAGCAGGGTAGAGGTTGGAAATGGGTTAAAATCCCCAGTACAAGAGAGGCTCACTGAGGCGCCTTACTGCCCCCAAAGCAAAGATCTAACTTTGAGAGAGGGACTCGTAACAGCTGAAGATTCCAGACACTTACAAGTTTCTCAACACTTCCTAAAAACAGAGATATTATCTGCATATATTCTAAAATTTAAAAAGACTCCAATGATGGTAAAACTGGACACCATTCATTGGTATGAAAACCAAACAAATCAATCTCTTAAACTGTTCCAAATTCTCAAGTGGAAATAAAGTCTCCAATATCAATGAAGGCATTGCTTTTGCTAAGAAATGGCGTTGAGAGCGGGCTGGGGGCTATGTGTCAGTGACAAAGAGTGCTCACCTAGCATGTAGGAGGCCCTAGGTTCACTGCTCAAAGACTGGGTCAACAGTGAAGGAGGGGGCAAATCCCTGAATTACTGGTAGGCGTAAAGAGGTACTTCAGGACAACCTAACGACATTTAAAAATCAGCAGTGCATACACCTTCAATACAGCTTCCTTGGTGATTAGCTACTGCAGCTATATTACCTTGAAATATTTTAGAATTTTCTTCCTGAAACTGTCCTCTGAGCTGTATGGAAAAAAAAAAAATTTTTTTTTCTGATCCTCATGTCTCCACCTCCGAAGTGCCAGAACTACAGGAGTGTACTCCACATCTGGCCTGGACGACTGCTTTTATGCAGTGTACAGAGTACATATTAAATGGACTATACAAACTATCAGAAAGCCATGAAACCACACGGCTGGCACCCCATCACACCGCCCCAGCAGAGCCTATTTCCACACGGAAGAGCACACCGCCCGCCCCAGCAGAGCCTATTTCCACACGGAAGAGCCCCCCTCCTATTAGGGAAAACAGCTTCTGCTTTTCTTTACAGCGTCACCCTAACATGTGCAACCTTAAACCCACTTGCTTCACTCCGTTAATCTGGTGTGGAATGTGCTATTTGTGACCTTTGTTTTGCTTCATTATTAGACTTACAAGCTGATGTCAAAAGCGCTAGTTTGGGGCTACTGCATACAATACTGCTATGCACTTTCTTGTCTATGTGTCTAGGTATCCGTGCATAAACAATTCTTAACTACATGTAGCCAGAAGTGCGACTATTTGACTTTAAGGGATGCTAAGCCCAGCTTAAAAATGGCTACATCCATTAAGGACCCCAGCACAGGGCCTGGGAACGTTCGTTCGTGGCTCCCATCCTCACAGGCTCTTGGTGTCATCAGGCGTCTAATGCTGCCGCTTTACGGGGTTTCTATCTTGTCTTCTTATGTATTTGAGTACAAGTTCTTTTCTTAGCTATTATAAAATAAAGTACGGCTTTCTACGTTCGTGCACAATGTAATAACCAGGATTGGATCTCGCCACTGGCTGTCCTATCTTAAAGACCTACAAAACCAGACAAAATACCTGAAATAAGCTATTTTAACTATGAACAATAGGAAGGTATGAGTATGTTCTCCAAGAAATCAGAGTTTAAGAAAGGTGTGTGTGTGTGTGTGTGTGTGAGAGAGAGAGAGAGAGAGAGAGAGAGAGAGAGAGAGAAAGAGAGAGAGAAAGAACTATGGAATAGGAAGGTGGAGAGGATCTGGGAGGAATATGAATATATATATATATCCATTAAAAAGAAAGGAAGGGGTGTGGGTGAACCTTACCATGAACCCCAAAATTTCAGAATTACCACTAGCCTCAGGTGATGAACGCAGACCAAAACAAAATAGTAAATTAGCTTAATACATTGAGATTGTTGGTGATTATTTTATGATACTTTGTAGCAATATTGTGTTGTAATGTTAAGAGGCCTGCTGGAGCCTCAGGGCCTCTCTCTATAAATGAGAAGCCAGAAATAATGGATGAAATAGGCTGGGATGACTCAAGGAGAGAATAAGCTAATCAAGGAAGAGAGTGGGGGGGGGTGCCTAAGCTTAAGATTTCAGATAATTAGTTTCTCAATGCTTCCTAAAAACAAAAACACATATCATTTGCATATAGTCTAAATTTTAAAAAGTAAAAAGAATGTACACTACACAGGTATGTAGAGAGAGTGAACTCCACAAGGCTAGAAAAAGGCTGATTATGGAAAACTCAATTTAAGCATGGAAAAATACACAGGTACACAAGCATTAAGCATAAGGAATGCAGTGGCTATATGAAGATATTGCGAAGCAAGTGCCAATAATATTTTGAGGAGTAAAGGAGAGTTCCTAATATTATAGAGCTAAACCATTAAGAAGATACAACAACACTGAATGTGTAATGAATTCAAATTTAAATTCATGAAGTAAAAACAACCACCTGGGAATCAGAGAGACTTTGAAAGACCCAATCCATCAACTTGGTCACTGTTAGCACAACACATGCATAGTATGCTTCACAAAGGTCTTAATTTGCACATCCCTAGAGGTGAATGAGGCTGAGCTCATCTGTCTTCTGCATCTCTTCTATGAAATTTCTGTTCAAGTCTTTACCACCCTCCCTTTTTTTGATACAGGGTCTCACTACATATACATTTCAGCCTCCAACCGTAGTGAACGCCCTGCTTCATCCTCCTAAGAACTAGGATATCAGGAACGTGCTAACTAACATGCCTAGCTAGCATTCTCCATTTGTGCTATGTGTTTTCTTACTGTTAAGTTTTAAGAGTTCTTGACTTTTAACGATCTAGATATAGTACTAGATATGTGACTTGCAAAACATTTTCCCTTGGGCTGTAGCTTTCCTCTCCTTAAAAGACTCATTCATGGGATAAGCTTTGAATTTTGACGTCCAGTTTATCAACTTGCTATTTCACAGACAGATGGATTTTTATTTTGTGCTCAGTTCCAGGAACTACTCTTGAGATCACAATTCTTCTGGGTACTGAAGAAAGTTCCAGCACACATGCTGCCAGAAGCCTTTGCTTCTTGAGTGAACTGGATTGCTCTGTCTACACAGATGCCCTCCTTCAGGACTCAAGTCTGCAACAGCAGCAAAACCATAAGAAGTGGAAAGGTAAATTATCTGCTGGGTTGCTAGAGTCTGACCTCTGGTTGTCGTCAATCTGACTTCTACCATTTACTTTCCCAGAATCCTGATGATGTTATAGTGTCTGCCAGACTTTACGGCTACACTCAGTGGGAGAGAGGTGTGTTTTCAACCCTTTACCCATTTTACCCAGAACCAGAACCACAACCACAATAGTCTTTTGAATAGGTGTATTTGGCTCTATCTGATTAAAAATAAAAGTCAATTAAGAGTCATACATAGCCAAAAACAACATGTACTTAATTATAGTAAAATGCAAGTAAGAAACTTCTAGAACTCTTTGTATGTCGCAGTAATTATACTCTATCCAACTGGATAAACGCTAAAAGGCCCTGGCTCTAAGAAGTCTGTGATTCTAATTCATTGATTTTCTCTGGTCCACTTAGGATTCCAGCTCACAAATGACTTAAGGCACCCAGGGTAACATGCTACGCTTCTTGTCTGTTTTCATAAGAGACGTGGGTTGTTGGGGAGAAAGAAAGGAATAACAAGAAAGACACAGCTGACTACTTCTCCACAGGGAAGAAAAGGACCACCGTAGGGACATTATGTAAGAGGCACACAGACGGGCACACCTGTGGCTATCTTAATAATATAATCTCCCCCCTTTTTTTAATCTTATTTTCAAGATCAAGAGACGAAGGTCTATGCCACTTCCTCTGGACTTTAAGCTCTGTGAACTGCTTCACTCATAAAATATTGCAGAATGATGCTGTGCCAGTTTGCAAGTCTAACCCTTAGAAGCGCACCTTCCTCTTCCTGCTTCCTAAGACACACTTTCTTTTAGAATGCAGCTACCGTGCTGTGTAGACCAGGTCACATGTCACACAGAGGTGTCTGATGAGAGTCAGCATCAACTACCAGATCTATGAGTAAAGACATTCCCAGATAACACCAGTCCCAACTAGCAATTCACACCTAGCTTATGAGTCTTTCCAGTGGAGGCTCTAGATACAATGGAACAGGAAGGAAAACCAGCCTGAACCAGTCAGTATATTCAAATTTCTGATGCACAGATAGATCCATGAGTCAACAATAGCCGTTCTTTATACCATTATCTTCCTGCATGGTTTGTTATACCACGACAAATAATTACAGCATCTTTAAACTATAGGGGAATTATGCAATCAAACTATTTTTTTTAAAATAGCAAGTACTCTTGAAGTTACAATGGACTTTGAGAGAAAACCATGATCTGGAAAACTCTGGTGAGGGTCATTACTCTGACTAACAAGCAAAATGGGGGTAGGGAGGTATAACAGAAAACCATTAAAATTTGTCACAATGTTAGCAGAAGAATCAGAGTTACGTTTTTAGATTCACTATTGGTTGGACCCCAGTTAGACTCTCATTTTCGATGCCCGCATCAGATGCCAATCACTGCCCTCGCAGAGAGAACACCATCAGGCAGGATCAGTGAGTACACTGCATAATATGAAATGCTGGGGACAAATATGAACCAGGAAGGCGGTCACGGAGTGCTGTTGCTAGTGATGGTAATGGGAAAGGCCTACAACTTCAAGTACAAGGGGATGGGAAATACTACATCGACGCGGTGACATTTGTCTGAAGACTTTGTAGATGTGGAGGAATACCGCCACGTCAGTGCATGCACAGGAGAGCCCATTCTAGGCAGAGCAAGTAAGTATAAAGGCCCGGAGCCCAGCGTAGCTGGGAGTTCACTGACCAAACAAAACTGTAAAAGATGAGGTCTTAAACGGAACCAAGAACCAGGCTGGGTAGGAAATTTCTGGCAAAAACCCATCAGCACTGAGTGCCAAACTCAATACAAGGGATTTTTTTTTTTTTTTTTTTTTTGTCTGTTTTGTTCATGAAGAATAGAGCTAACTTCCAGGACATTCAAAAACACGTTTACCAGATGAATGAGTGGAACCTTGGCAGAGTGGAACTTAGCTGCTCTTATAGCTGTGACTCCACTTTCTTGAGTCTCAGTTCTCACTTTTAAAATTAGAAACAATTACTTTTCCCTAGCTCACTGAACGGGGGATCTCCACTACGAAGTGTATGCTCTCCCCATTATAAGCATTATTAGCAACAATCTAGCTTGCCCCACCAACTCCAACCTCGAAATTCGCCCTCTCTTCTGATGTCACAGAACCTGGGCAGGGTAATTTTCCCTTCAGAACGCAGGAACACACTTTAAGCCCTTACAGGCTTTTATCAATGAGTGACAGTAATTAAAAAGTGACGGCTGCTCTTACCAACGTTCGAATCTGAGAAACATAACGAGACATGGCTCCATGGAAAGAGTCTACAACGTTCTGTAAGATCCAGTCTCCCTGCACACCATTTTCTTTTAAAATGCAAGAACTCTCAATAAAAACACCCCAGCCACTTAAACCTACACCAAACTGGCTGAAGAAGAAGAAGAAAAAAGGGAAAGATTATTAGGAAAAATAGTTGAAGGAGTCGCATTGCTTGGAAAATCTACTTCTAGCTCACTCGACTGAAGAGACTGCTGCCGTTTTTCTCGGCTGTAAGCGGGAGTTCTCTTGCTTAAGGATGCTGGGATATTTTTAGATGCACATAAAGGTATGTGCCTAACACATGCCTAAGCATTTGCTGGGATTGAAAAGGCATCTACCGAACCTTTAGCCTTTAGAGGTCGCAATCAAAAGGGACAAATTCTCAGTTCTCTCGGCTTTTAAAGCTTTCCCCGTGGCCTCTGGAACTAATGTAGCTTTGGGTAACAGGCGCCCTGCTTGCTAAGAGTAGAGAGTCCTCTGGGATTTTTGCAGAAGGCACCAAGGAGCTCTCTTCCTTCCGCCTCCACAGCCTCAGTGCTTTCAAGGAGAAGGAAGGATGTGGGTGGGCCAAGAGCTAAGGCGGCGCAGGGAGCGCAGGGTGGAGAGGAAGGAGGCAGGCAGCCTGGGCGCTAGGGCTGGCTGGGCCAGCCGAGGTGTGTCGCCTGACCCTCTGTGGGTCCCCGCCGGCCCGGGGGTGAGGGCGGTGAGGGATGCACGCCCCGCAGCCAGAAGGAAGCGGCAGGCCCGCCCGCCCTGGCTTCGCGGCCACAGCAGGGGACGGGCAGCATCTTCCTGAGTGTGGCCGAGGCCCAGCCAGGCCCGGCACCCCCGCCGGGCTGCCCCACCCGGCCGCCCGGGTCCCCACCGCCCCGCCCTACCGCGCTCACCTGCGAGCCCAGCCCCGGGCCCTCCATCCCGCCCGGCGCGGCGCCCGGCCCGCAGCGGCTCCAGCGCAGAGTGGCGGCGGCGGCGGTGGCGGCTCGCCGGCCAGCACGCCTCGCCCGCCTCCGGCTCACTTCCGGCCCTCGCCCCGCCCCCGCGCCGCCAATCCGCCGCGCCGAGCCAATCGCCGCCCTCTCTCGCACGGGGGCGGGGCTTTCTCGCCTCTAGGGAACGGCCGGCCTGCCACGCCCCCTAGCTCCGCCCCGCCACGCCCCCCCCAGCTATGCTCTGCGGATTTTCCTTTAGTCCCATTCAGGGCACACCATCACCTGGGGTGCAGGGAGGCTCGACAGGTGCCCGACTCAGGGTGTTCTTCCAAAGTGCTGTACAGGGTTGTCCCCAAACTAGATGTCCCTGTGGAAATCGCTACCTCATCTCAGTCCCTCAACTGTGAAATGGAGTCAAGAGCAACTCCATCAAAGCATTTGGAGGACCAACCGAGGGAAAGAACGCAATGCTCAGTCCCTCAGCGGGGGAGGTTTAGCAGATGAAGAGCATTCGGTCTAATGGACAACCTCACTGTTAAAAGGTCTGTAGCCCTTGAGCAAGGCGCTTCTCCCATCACGGCCCATTTCGTCATAGCAAGAAGAAGGCATGGCTCAGTGCTTGCCAACAAGTCTCACGTGGCGACCTGAGTGGTGGCGACCTGAGTGTGTTCCCCGGGATCATGGCAGAAAGGGAAAAAAATCTCAAAGTTGCCCTCTAATCTACACACTTACACACACACATAGAGAGAGAAACAGAAAACAACGGGGCTTTTCTAGGCCAGAACTCAATACAGTACTTTGTAATAATTCCTGCAAGTGTCTGCTGCTAAGCCCAGCTGGGTTAGATCATTAGAAGCTAATTCAGAATAGAATTAAAACTATGGTGACTCCGCATCCTATAAACCATGAAATAAGTGTCTGCAAATAAAGTGCTGGGGTTACTCATGAAAAAAAAAAAAACTTTACAATGAAACAGTAAAATTGTAAGTGTATTGTTATTATTGTCAGTGGTTCCACTTTTTGGGCACACCGTAGGTTACCCACAAAACTTACCCCCAGTGAAGATGGGAAGCATGTTATATTTGTCTTGGAATTCCCAGTGCCCAGAACAGCACCGAGACTCAGAAAATACCATAATTACAGTGAGTAGATGGGTAGATGTATAAATGTGTCATCAACTTTTATGACGCCATGCAGCGCGAACTAAATGGCAAATAGAAGGAAGGGCAAGGGACTTCCTTCAGAGCTGGAGGGAAAGGCAGTTAACTTGGAGAGGGTAGGATGAAACTTGGGGAGGGTTCCAAAGAGGAGAGAACCTTTTGGTGTGGTCACTTCCTAATCGTTACCTAATCGGATGTCTGTTTATTGGTTTATTGATCGCTTAGTGTGTGTTGGTAACTGTGCCGGTGTTCTGCATACATCACATCTAAACCATGAGATGGTTCTGACTGATTCCATAAACTCCAAATCATTTAGAGTAGGGAGGGAGGGAGGCTTCAATCCCATCTCCTCTTAAAAGTTAGTGCTATGGCCAATGTAGTTTGGGTCTTTCATCTTTAAGGAGTTGTTAAGGTGCTGTTGAACTTGAGGGAGGCTTGGAACCTTCTAGTCCATGCTTTTGTTTTGGTGTCCTGAGATGCTGGAAGAGTCTGCACTGAATACATTTTAACACTCCACTTCTTAGCCAGGCTCTGGACTCCACTCTGCTCATTAGTTTTATCCCTCCAACAAGCTACTTCAGGTTAAGATAAGCATATCTGTGCCTAATTCCTCAGTGAGCCTAGTGATGGGGCTAGGTCATGTCAACGTCTCTCATTTTCAAAATTACCTTTGTAGACATGCCTCAGCAGAAAAGCTTGAATGCGTGTGCATGCCCCTAAAGCTGCCTGGGCTTAAATCACAGCTCCTGCCTCTAGTAGTTCCGTGATCTTCAACACGCTGCTATGTTTTTGCCCTTCAGTTTCCTCATTTATATTTATATTTCTTATTACATTTCTTATTTATATAAGACACACATGGTACTTACTTCATAGCACTCTGGAGAGGATTAAATGAACTGACATGTGTGTAGTGCTCAGAGGACAGCTTGGTACATTCTAGGCTTTGTAAATGGGTTACTTACTAGAATTTCCATGCTCCTCCCCAGGAATGGGATTGGGAGAGCATTGAATGGCATCAGCTGGGGGATGTGTGTAAAGGGGAAAGAATAGGGATCCAGCACGCCCGGCTTCTAGTTTACACTTTCTGTGTGTATTAGATTCCCAAGGTTTCCATAAAAAAAGGCAGTACTGACTGAGTGGACAAAGTCCAGGGAATTATTGTCACATAGATCTGAAGTCCGGAGCCTAAGGCCAAGGTCTTACTTAGCAGGCTTAGTTCTTTCTGAGGCTGGCTTCATTAGCTTGAAGATGGTCGTGTTCTCCATGTGCCTTTACGTGATCTCATTTCATGTATTTGTATCCCTCTTGTATGGGCAGGAATTGAACTGCATTAAAGCTGAACCTGACCATATTTTACACACACACACACACACACACACACACACACACACACACACACACCCCTATGGACAAATACAGTTACATCTGAAGCGCACTGGGGCATAAGATTCTAGTATATGGAGAAGGGGAAGCAGCGCATTCTCCCTATAACACGGTGTAATTCTGAGCAAACCATTTCCCCTTTTTGTCAAATGTTCTCATATGCAAATTTTCATGGAAGTTGAAGTTGAAAGCAGTGTTCTTATGTTACATGCATGTTTTTCTGCCGGCCTGGTCCCACAGCTGTGCCAGCCCCAAATAACACACAGAGACTCTGTATTAAATATAAAGTTGTTACCTGTTACCAGTATTTCTTATTGGCTAGCTCTGTCTTAAATATTAACCCATTTCTATTAATCTAAGTATTTCCACGTGGTCTCATCTTACCGGAGAGAGGGACCAGACCTCTGCTCTCTCCATCCTCCATGTTGAATCTCCTCCTACCTCTCCCCAGTCCTCCTTCTCTCCTAGTCCCGCCTACCTTCCTTTCCTATTGGCCAACAGTGCTTTATTCATTAACCAATACGAGAAACATATTTACAGAGTGACAACTCCCATCATTTTTATGGTTCCTCTTAGCTTTGATCATATAACTTTCCTAAGCAGGATTATGTCATTTCTGTCTCTAGTACTCTTACATAGGCAGCACTGTCCTCATCCTATAAGCGCATATTAACTTTCTTCTACATACCCGACATTGCTCAGCATTGGGAAAGCATTTGAGCAAGAAAGAGACCTGTCCTCTGATACCCATGGCGTATTGTGAAGCACAAAGAGAAAGATTATAGGCCACTCACCAGTATTTCACTCTTATAGTTGTAGTTGTTGAGTAGATCATTATTTTTTTTTTCCATGACTGTGGGCTATTGGTGAGGATCCATCTTTTCTCTCCCTCCTTTCCTCCCTCCCTCTCTCTCTCCCTCCACCATTCTTTGTACATCTGGCATACGTTGAAACAAACAAGAAATGTCCAAACATAAACAACCACAATGTAGAAAGTGATCTGTAAGGAGACATCAAAGTTGGCTCAGATCCACAAACTATACTAAGGTCTGATTTTTGCAATGTTGAGAAATTACTTGATTTGAGTATTTCATATTTTGTACTGACTGGTTTTGGGTGTCAACTTGATACAAGCTAGAGTCATCAGAGAGGAAGGAGCCTCAGCAGAGGAAATGCCTCCATGAGATCCAGCTGTAAGGCATTGTCTCAGTTAGTGATAAAAGGGGGAAGGCCCAGTCCATGGAAGGCGGTGCCGCTCCTGGGCAGGTGGTCCTGGTTCTGGAGGAAAGCAGGTTGAACAAGCCATGGGAAGCAAGCTCCTGCATCAGCTACTGCCTCCAGGCTTTTGCCCTGCTTGAGTTCCTGCCCTGTGGAAATATAAGCCAAACAAACCTTTTCCTCCCCAACTCGCTTTTTGGTCATGGCATTTTCGTCGCAGCAATAGAATCCGTAACTCAGACAGATTTCCTAATGTGTGCTGTCACAGTATGGATGACGACTGACTGACTTTGTTTTGCCTAAACTTTTGACTCTGGGCTCATTTCTTCCTCCTTCTGGCAAGGACATGGGCATGTTTTAAGTAGGGGGCTGTGACTATTATCATTATGATGCTGGCACCAAAATGGTTCTTTGAAATGTCAAAACAAAGCAGACAGTGATAGCAATAAAAAGCACATATTCATCTGTGGAGAGCTTCTCACATGAACCAGGTAGGAAATTAGGAAATGCCAATGCTCCATGCTACAGGCTGGCGGCTAGACAGGGAGGGAGCTCACTGAGATGAGTGTCGGCTGAGATTCTGGGCTGGGTACAAGCTAAAACACTTTTTAGAGGCTAAGTAGTGGGCAATAATCTCTGCTCTTCGAGAGAAGCCAAGAAAAAGTTCCAAAAGGCCACAAGGCCCCCCTCAGTCTGGGAGGTAGGGTGCGATGGAGAGTTCCCTTTAGAAAGTCATGGAACCTGTTCAGATGTCATGCTCAATCCTTGTCTTCTGCCCATGGACAAGTCTTTCTCATGAAAGTTAAAAACCTCTCATTTCATATGTAAGACGTCAAGGTCTAGCCATGATCTATGAGCTGTTCTAAGTAACACCATGAATGTGTACTGAGTTAGGAGCCTTTGTGTGGTTTTGATTTTACATGCTATATTAACAGGAACCATATGTATGTATAAGTGTGTGTGTGTGTGTGTGTGAGTGAGTGAGTGTGTGTGTGTGTGTGTGTGTGTGTGTGTGTGTGTGTGTAGCAGAGACAGAGGTGGCTGGGAGGGGAATAACAGACACAATGTATTTCTGCTATTTATTTTTCACTGGCTATTATTTGAGTCATGGGCAGTCACATTTCAGTATCTACTTCTAAAGGACGATTTGATTTTCTGGCTGTGTCAAGATTGTAGCATTGATGCCTAGGTTTGAGCATTAAATCTACCTCCACTGGTGGAGTGCTGAGCACTTGCTTGCATTCCCAGCTTCTCAGCCTTGGTGATCCTCGAAGATACTTAAAT